CTTGATAAAGTCGTATAGACAACCTGTAATGACAGACATTTAGCAATAAATGAATAAAAATGGTATATTTTCTCATCCTTGAGCTAGTTACTAGCATCATTTGTCTTGCTTTTTGATGACAAGTCCAATATTAAGGATTACAATACGTTTATGCAATCTTTCTTTCCTAACTCTACAGTTCAAAGTGTTGTCCTATAGCATTAAGTGCTTTTATTCCTTCTTAAATTTGAAGTTAAAGGAAAATATTCTGAACTTGTGGGCTCAAAACAGCAACCACTTCGCTATACAATAGTACAGTTCGTACTGTGTCAGTGTGTATACGGTATACCAGTACACCACTGAACTACATTATATACGGAAGTACCATATGAACTAGCTAAAGTAAACAGCAATCCGGCCCAACGCTCTAAAAGTGAACATTATTGTAATTATAAAAATAGTATCTAGTAAAATGAATGCAATCCTATTGCGATAATCTCGATCTATCCTACTGTTTGGCGTTCGTGGATCAACTTACCAGAAATTAAAGAATAATGCAGGCATTAATAAAAGTGTGTACTCTTTCACAATGTACGGTACGCGGACACTACTCTTTACGGCCTGATCATTCTATAACGTAGTATAATACGCGAACTAGTGCATAGTGATACTGGCGAATGTGAGCTAAGATACACCTACTACTTATATTAGAAATGAATTAAATGCTAAATTAATTAACTGTAATTTATTATTGATAATGGCCATGAAATGACGAGTGTGTAGATAACATTAACATCAAAAGTAGCTTTATTTGCATCAGGATTTTAATCAACTCAATGACTACTCCTATGTTTATAGAAATACCGTTTACATTATAATAAATATTTTACTAATACATTAACTAATGATGTACTTCTTTAATAAGAGGCATTTCGACTGATTAATTATTATTTCACTGAATACGCTCTAGGCATGATTACTCGATTCTCGAAGATGAGTCGTTTAAAGATAACAATCAGCAAATACTGCATCATTAATTAGACGTTTCAGCTTAGCATTAACGAAGGTGACTATTGTTTTTCTATAGTTATAGTTCGTGCAGACTAAAACTTACTATTCACTAATAGATATGAGCACTTTTAACGCAGTAACGAAAGCTGCACAATTATAGGTTAATCGTTTCATTACTTCTTTGTAGTCTTATTTCGAAACCGATCGCAAAGCCCAGTCCAAAGAAAATTGAAGAAGTTTCCATAATCCTTTGAAGCAAAAAGTTTTATTATTAAAATGCAGTTTAGTTAGAAAAATCTATCGTCTTGAGACAATTCTAGAACAGAAATAGTAAAACCTACAAGTTTGCCAGAAGCCATTGCCTTCAATCTTGGACCGGTTGTTAGATTCAAGAGCCTACACAAAATTATGATTAATAATAGCAAAAGAAGTAGCAAGCGCAGTGGAATTATCTGACAATCTAAAGTGTCTAGCATGATATCGTTAATGGGACTTACCATTTACCCACAGATGGGGTATACTGCATTAAATATGTCATAAGTAATGGCAAATGGTTAGAGATCCATACTTCATCAATTTCATTAGCAATCGCTACCGACATTAAATGCGCAAAGCGATCCGTTGGCATTTTTTTCGAATTATCCATCCCACTTTCTCCTACTTTCTGCATTAAGGAAAATACCGAAATTATAGAGTTGTTAATTGTGACAATTTTTTAGGCGTAATTTTCCTATCTAGCTAAACTTGAGCACGAAAAAAAGTACATCTACCGCTACAGTAACATGTTAACTACTTAAAAAGACCTTACATCAAGATGTTGGTTACCTTATCAGCATTATCTGACAATGCATTTTTGCCCACATTTGACACAACTGCTCCAGGACATATTATGCTAGTTTTGATGCCAGGATTTGTGGCAAAAAGTTCAAAATTTAATGCTTCAAAGAAGCCCTAAAAGTACCAAATTACATGATTAGATCGCAAAGCAAGTAATAGTTGTATTAAATTAGCGCTGAGCTATTACAGAAGATTTTAAGGATGCTTTTGGTAATCTAAAGCTAATTATCGTAATATACGCAATTGTGAAGAATCACAAAATCAATAGCGCATTACGCTATATACATACATGAAGTGCAAATTTACTGGCACTGTACCCACTGCTACCTGGAACGCCTATATAGAAATTGATATACATTAGAGAACAGAAGCACGCAATGACCGGTTTATTTTAATATACATATGGTATGATAGGCAACACCGTATAGTGATGTGCATTTGCAAAGATAAGCGCATCTTAAAATTTTTTAAATGATTTACTCGAAAATGTAAAGATACATGCAATCATGGTTTATCACTACAACTATTATAGCGTTATCTTACTTACCGAATTTACCAGCAAGACTGGATATAACTACTAAGAGGCCTTTACCTCTTGCATACATATGATTGTGAAGGATAGATTTAGTTAAAGAAATTGTACCAATGACATTTAATTGGCATAGATACTGGTCAACACTGATATCTGCCTGCATTGCCAAAGAGCGTTGTGATCTTCCGGCATTATTTATAAGGATATCAACCTGAAAAGTGAATGATTACACTTTTTAGGTAATGACAAAAGTAAAATAGCAGATATATGTATTAAAAGAATAGCAATAAATACATTAAATAGTAAGATCTATGAAATCTAAATAAGTTACATAGGCATTCCATTGGTTTATAATTAATAAATCGTTTTATCAGATAGATAACTGTACGATTTAAATGTACTTAATAATACGTATCTTCAATTACATTGCTAACTTCGTCAGTAATAACATTACTGCGTAAAAGGTGAGCTATTGGAATACTTACAACTCCAAAACACTGAACAGCCTCCGCAACGACGTCATTATGTTTTTGAATATCGGCGAGATCCAAAATTACAATTTTGACAGCTGATTCCTTTAATCCATACCCTAAATGTTCATTGTAATTGAGATACATGTATAACTGGACAAATGTACAAATGTTGCAATTGTTGCATGGAACATAGAGGCTCTAGTTCATTAGTACATACTATTATGAGTTCATATTTTGTAAATATAAATTCTTTATTAACTGTAAAGTAATTACAGTAAATTCTAGTTTCAATGCATAACGGCAACTAAGCTTGCACATACGCAGGAATCACTGATAATACTTTACTTGTACACTATACTTTCGATAGTTTCCTAATAGCAACTCCCAGCTAAGAACAGAAAGTGGTAAATATCTAACCTATACAAGCTTGTTTGACACGCTTTAATTCATCTTCTCTTCTAGCCGACAAAATTAGCCGAATGTCCTTGCAATTTTGCGCCAAATTATAAGCCGCATACTCCCCAATCCCGCTACTAGCACCAGTAATCCAAACGACTTTGCCATTTAATGAAGAGATTGGTCGACCAAACTTTTCTTTGTATAAAACCGTTAAGTCAGCATCGGCTAAGCAAAATCGAATAAACTGCACTACCAATATTAGTGGTAAAATGTAGTAAAACATTATTTCAAATAGGAAACATATAAGCCACATCATTTTTCCTTCCGTATTTTGGTAACGACAGATGAAATGGAATGTTGATGAAAAGTTTGCCTCTAATCTTTGTTAACCTAACCGTAATGATGAGTAACAGTAGTTCCAATTACATATAGAAATGTAGACGTAGAATTCAATTAAGCTGTGCAAAGTATTTTGTATCCAGTTGTCTACTATAGAATCATAACTGCAATCGACATACACATCTTTCACTCTTTCAGTTTTATAGGAGAATCTTAATTGATTGTACTCATCATGCTGAACAGTGACTAAAAATACAGGTAATCATCTGCAATAAGAATGATAGTGTATGTACAGTTATCAACTGACAGAAACGATTCATTCTAATTATCGGAAAGCAGAAACTACCATTAAGACGAACTGATCGTTGGTTTATATATAACCTTATACTTTATGTTGATTTAATTTCAATGCTCGTACTCTATTTTTTCTCCCTCTCTTACCCTAGTGTAGTCTGCATTAATTAAGCAGTACAGCATTTATTTATAATTGAATAATAATTAATTATTATAGTATGTCTGTGCACTAGTCAGTGGATATCTTAAAGCTATATTGATTATTCACTAATTCATTGATGCTTAATACTTCACCTCGACAGTACAAGCCAAATTATGACAGAATTAGTTTAAACTGTTGATTTCGATGATATCTTACAATGATGATTAATTTATCTACGACGTTATCATGAGCATAAGATAATTAATTGTAGACGTAATAGATACAGTAACACTCGTACAGTACAGTAGATCTTATAAGATACAGACAGTGTGCACGACTATGCAAGCTGCAATTCTGACGTTACTCTACCTGAGTTTTTCCACAATCGCTACAAGCCAGTATCGCCAAATTATGATTAATTAATTAATCTAGTAGCAAAGAGAAGCACTGCACAACAATACGTCTACACGTAGGTTGCACTTGAATGACAGCCAATGCTAGGAAAGCTCAATTAGAATTCTGAAAAACTGTTTTCCCTTGCCTAATGTACACATGTACATCTACTCCGGTAAAACACCTACAGGTCGCATATACGATTACTGTTATTGTGAACATGCGTATAGATGTTCAGTATTATACTGTACTGTTGAATAACGACTATAGCGACGAAAGTCCAAATATTATGCAGGCCATACAAGATTAGCTAATCGAGTCAAAATGTCGTCATTCGTAGTCGATAACTGCATGCCTATGTGCCTTTTGTCAGCAATGTGAGCAGCAATAAATCAGCTATGCAGTATAATTGTATAATGGTCTAAGCGGACTAGGCTTAGAAGGATTTTCTAGAGAAATTAAAAAGTGTAAATCCATGATGAGATCGTATAGCGGACCTCTGCAAATGATGCCAAAATTAAGGCTGATGGGCTGCTACAGTAGTGACTGGTGTAATAGACTTCAGTTTACAGTCATGTAATGTTGATCTGTATCGCTGCAAAGGATGCCAAAAAATCAAGCTGGTCTGCCGTATTGACTGATGATAGATGTAGTATTATGTACAGTATTACTAGTAGGTTTTTCCTTGATCTCGATGAGTCTAGGAAAAGAAAGTAATTTAATGTTGCACCTTGCCGCAGTATGTAGCGCTCCATTCGTACATTATATTGCATTGCATCAACCAGGATGATTCGTATGCGATGCTGTTGATTTTGAAGCCATAGTGTATCCTATACTGTACAGTATAGGCAATATCTGCTATACTATACATACAATGTATTCTAGTTGACTGTATTGTGTATCCTCGCTCTATCGTATAGTAGTTATAGGATAACAGTGCTGTCATAAAGATCTCTGCAGCTTAATAAACTCCCATGGTGCAGCTGATCAACGATGTTAAAGGACTTGATTCAATTACAAACTTAATTTATCAATTCTACTGCGTATTCCAATGGGACTGCTAACTGATTCAACTAGCCGTAAGAGGCTACATAATCTCCTTTTCGCCAATTGGCCAATATTAAGGTATGTAGCAACCAACTGCATAGTATAAAACTATCAACCATAATCGTCCATAGTCACGACAGTAGTGTTATGAGTATTTAGGCTTCCACTTGCTTAATCATCGTTCCTAAATGAAAAGCTTGGCAATTTTGGATCATGAAGTTATAAATTGCAATCAATATTCTTATCTCACTAGCCAGTTCTAAACTGTCTTGAGTTCTACGAGTGTTTAACCATGGTATGGTGTACACGCATAGCGGTAAATGGCTGAATGTAGCAAAAAGAAAAGTTGATATACGTATTACACAGTGACATGATACCATAATTAAAATGTCAACCCTCAAACTAAATTCTATTATACTATCTTCATTTTAGCATGGAACGTAATGTCAAATATGTTTGTTTTTTGCGACATAATCAGTCAGCTTGGCTGTATGCATGAATACCTTGAACTGAGTACATTCTGTATTTTATTAACTAGAAATTCTATTATTTTATGATTAGCATTTTGCTCTACGTTATTGGAATGATTTGGTTGCTAGCATTGGCTCTTGATGACTTCAACGATAGATGTTACATATCGGAAAATGCTTTGATGCCAGCCATGACGCATACGCACTATACCAATGCCAGAGACGTAACAAGTATGACTAGTGAATTAACAGAGATGTCGTCGAGGTAATCGTATACTAGTTTATTGCTAAAAATTATTTTATTGTACATAAAGTTTTAGCTGTGTCGACCGATTGACTTTGCTAGTCGTATTTATTGACTAACAACTCTATATACTTGAATATCATACGACAACATAGCCAAATTAATAACACGCATTAGTACTTTGATTTGTTGCATTTTTTATACTTTACCTAAAAATGAAGTATCCATTGCATTATAGTTGATTGATTATTATAATACATGAGAAGATATACAATGTTATATTTAATATACCCAAGCTGATAGTATAGTGGACTCAGGAGTAATTTGAGTTCTTATTTTATAGGACCGTGCCTGCTAACTGGATACTTGAGCATTTTAAGAAATCAGGATTCGATACATTTACGCAAAATTTTACTTACCAGCGGCCATTTAATTATGTCAAAAACAAGGTTTAGGCCTACCTGCTATCACCATATAACATTTTACTTGTGCTACTGTAAATTACAGTTTTAAGACATATATAGTTATTATACTAGTACAGTATCACTAAGTGCTATATGTTGCGTTTATCACAGACTATTACTGGTATGAATGTATATGGAATACTCAGAGCACCCCGTAAAGCTGGAACAGAGGCAATTGTCTTAAATGTTCCTTATCGCCCTATACATCAAATCAAGCAAGAAGCAACTCATGCTGGACTTGCATTGATGATATCATTAGCTTCTTACTTTCAAGGTGCAATTTTACATATTTTGTGTCTCTGATGTATATCATGTATTGCTTATCATTATCTAAGCCACTATGAATTTCATTGAAGTAATACATTCGAATTAATCTATCTTTATGGCTTAGAAAAAACGTACTGGTCCAAGGATATCATCTTTTTGGTAACAGAGAGGGAATATTATGGATTGCAGGCATGGCTGGACAGCTACTATGATACCCATATACCTGGTAGTTATGACATACGAGTATCTCTTTATGTAATAAACATACAGTATGCGAATAATAGAAAAACTAATACCTGGATAGTTTATTTAAAATTTATAAGCAAACAATTGTTTTTAATAATAATAATATACGTAGTATACGAGTTGTTATATTAAATCCAGCCTAATATATGTTGTTATGGCAGGTATTGAGAGGGAAGAACTAGGCGGCAGAGGTGGATCGATTCAGTCTGCTATTACATTAGAAATACCATCTGAATATGTTGAAAGTCTCAACTTGAAACTTGGTTGGTAACTTTATAGTCAGAATTTTTTAAAATTGCGCTTTTTCTGTATTATAGGATAAATTTCATGAAGAACATCATTTTTAACTTTGTAACAATGGTACATCACTTTATATCTTTGCTAATACTATATTTTGATGCAAATGTGTAAATATGATAGAAGGGGTAAATGGTCAGCTACCCAATCTAGATGTATTCAACATGGCTGTGAGAATATGTGACAGAGAAGGAATCACTCCTACACTTCCAAGGCCTGTAAGCATAAGTACAGCATAGCTGCAAGCGATAATTTGTGACTCAATATAGCTCAGTAACTATTTATGGCTCATTTCAGAGTTACAAGAGTTCAACTTCTTACTTGAAATCCTTGATGACAATGCTAACCATGATGTCAAAGCATGCTCTAGGAATTCCCACTGGCAACCACGGACTATTCTTAAAGTACTAAATGCTTATCAGACACATTAAATTGAATTTATAATAATCTAGAATAGGAGTAACGTAACTAGTTCTCACACCAGGAAGATTAAAGCATCAAAATTTATTGCTTACATTTGAACCCTTTATTTGAATTCTATTATTTTAGATATCATATTGAAGCTATTACCCTGCAGGGTGTACTATCTGATCACTCCTATATTTCGAAAATGCCCAACATTGGCAGGTAAATATCATTATTCATCTGTTAGGAGGAAAGAATGTTCTCATGCACATATGACTCACGAGAAAGTAACACATTATTTTATATTTTCGTATTATTGATACAATATTTATGAACTAAATTTTTTTATTCAGAGCTGTAGAAGGAATTTTTAGAAGTCTGAATAATCTATTGGAAAGATTTCATGCTTCATACTTTTTCTACGTGTTGCCTTCTGAACATCGATATGTATCGATTGGCCTCTACATGCCGCCATTTTTTTGCTTGATCATACCTTTATTGATTAAAATATCCAAACCTTAGGAAATTATTCAATTTCAAATATTGTATATTTATATTTATCAAAGTAGTATCGTTCTCATTGTAATTATTAGGACGCTCACTTGCAACACTAAGCTAAAAATCGTTTCCCTTAACGTTAAGTAAGCTATTTTTCTATGGAATGCAGCTGCAGATACTCAATTTTTGAAGAAAATTTGTGAAGATGCAATCAATGATGATAAGAACGTAGATAATAATCAAGGATCCTCAAAAGCGAATATGGAGGTCTTAATTTAATCTAATTACGATAAAATTGTCCTGTAATACGGTAAATTAATTATATCCGAAAAGTGATGCATGGTAATAACTCGTATAATTATCTATTACGTATAGGTCGCTTTTTATAGTCACCAGCACGATTTTAAGTATTTACTGGCTTTGGTTACACTAGTTTACTTTTCTGGTATTATATTATACATTTTACCTAATACTGTCTGGGAACAATCAATACGTTATGATGTTAATCCAATGGTTGCAATGTACGTTGCATATTTTAATATTATCCTAATATCCGTATGTGTCCCGTTCTTTCTTCGAAGGTACAGTACTTCAGTATAGAACTCTAAACTTAACTTTTGATAACGCGTGTTCTAATTCTGACCTTTAACTTAATTATGGAAATGTAGCCAATTGACGAAATATATTTCTGCATGTACTAAAATGGACTATACCAGTAATTGGGTCACCGTACTTTGCGGTTCCTATACTTTACTAGCAATATCCTTGATTGCTTTATCAAATATAAACTTTTCTCTGGCGGTATCATTTGCAGTATTCATGACGCCCATAGTACTACTAGTGCAGCTGAAAAAAGATGGGTAAGATTTACAGTATCACTGCATAATGTATGCGACATATAATGAAACTATTTCATATTTCGTCCTACATCGTTAATGTTTCCTAGGCTATACAAACAATTTCAGAGAATCCTCCTTTTATTGATATTTCCTCCGATCCTGGTTTCTGGATTTATCGCTCTATTTCAATTGATAAATTCAGGAATGGAATCTACCGGAAGCTTAAAGATTGTGACCAAGTTTCATAGTGTATTACTTACCGCATTAACCGAACAACAATTAATAGGTGTATCAAACTATCCAATTCTATGTTTAGTATTTTGGCCGGTATGGCTTATGTTTTGGGCAGTTGTGAATTTTAGCCCAGCTACGAATAGATGATCATAAAATTGTCTTAAGCAATGCTTTTAAGGCTAAATTGGACGAAGAAGTGATTGTACAATGCGTATATTTTTACATTACGAATGTTATTTAAATTTCTATCAAATAGATAAATCGTTGTGTGAGATATCATGAACTAGAGGCTCATATTTCTTCCGTAGATCGTAAATATAGCAAAGGAACAATTTTACATGCTATACCAATACATCGCCCTACACAGCCTGATGATGATTGTTGTCAAAACAATTTATGAATACAATCGCAGTAAACTTACACAATAAAATTCCGATTTCTTGTTCAAAATGTACATGTTGAAGCTGTTAAATTAGTTCCAATAGTAAAGTACTTGACGTGAATAACTACTCAATTTCTTAGAAATACTAGTTCTATCTTCATAAAGGTTGGATTAAGACTAGCAAGTTAATTGAGAATAGTTTAGAATCACCCTTATATTTAATGAACATTTCCTAGTTTTTACTATGCATCTTTTACAGCCATCTTATTGACAACGGCATCTACTAGGTCTGTTGTGTTCAGTTCGGCATCGGTAATACTATAAATCTAAATAAAACATGTAACGCTAAGAATTTGCGTTATTATACTCACAAAGTAGGCTTGAACTTGGATTATTTTGAAATACTGTATTATGCATAAAGGTTGCTGCTGAAAAGGGATTTACCTTTTTAATATCTTCATATTTTGAGAAATCATTTATCTTTTCTATTCCAATGCGTTCACCTTTAACAGCCTGAATTGCCATCTGAAACTTGAATAAATACAATCGTTTTTCAGTATACATATACCGTAGTGTAGTACTTCACGATACATATTAGCCACCCACGTATATAGTCAAAAACAAGAGTTTACTTGCATCATAAGACTATTTGCTTACTTTACTACTATTTTCTTCGCTATCAGTATCAATGACAGCAACAATGACTGCATTTGAATCATTAGATAGTCCAAATTTTTTGAATGAGCCAGCAATCTTACAATAATAAAATAGTATGCATTACAACACTTCAATTCCATTATGGCTTAGTGTATAACGGTAAATAAGATCACAATAAACTGATTCTAAGCTGTACAATTTTACATTTTTAGACGGTGATAGACTATAAAGTAGTTCACTGTGAACATTGCGTGTCTTCATTTTATTAATATCTTGCAAGTGTGCGGCTTTAAAGGCTGCAACCGATAATTGAAAGATTCCAACAATCTAAATGGGTAAATAGATAAAATAACAGTAGGTCGACATTAGTGATAACATTGTGAACTTTCGTATTGAAGTCTATGGTTAGCTACAAATACATATAAAGTTCCAACTGATGTTTACTCGTCTATACGTTTAGGCTGGTCATCCGTATACTACTATACGTATATTGATAAGGCTGCAAGAAATTTTTGACAATTATATTGTCCTAGTATGTATTGTAATGACATACACGTTCAGCTACCGTATATTGTAAAATGTGATTAAAACAAGTTAACCACGTACTCGAATGCATTTACAGTATTGAAAGCAACTATGGTAATAACAAACAGCTACAACGAGCTAGGCATCATGCTTGGTCACTATAACATTTAAGTTTACAGCAGAAGAATATTTCTATTGTTAAGCATAGAATGATCAAGTACTTTGATCAAGACTCTATTGTCATCAATGGTGGGCAATTTCAATTAGTATTTTTAGTCCAGCAGCTGCAATGCATAAGGCAACATACTTTATCATTTAACAATTGAGGTACAGCTGAAGGATACTTTTGTTAGTGAGGATAAAATGAGCAAGGAAGCATTTCGATCAAGACCATATAGCAATTATTAGTACACTTTTCTGTTTAGCATTTTCGCGTATCAGCTACCATTGCAGTACTTCAGGAATCTTGCTTTGTCATTTTAGCATTTAAGAGTGCAGCTGAGGCACACTATATTATTGGAGAGGATAAAGTGAGCAAGGAAATTGTTTCGATGAAGACTACGCGTGCATAGCAAAATTATTTGTGTGTCTATAGTATTATTATTATCAGCTAGCATTTTGGTGTGCTCGTATGACTAAAGGATAGTTTGATTGATGAAGATAAAAACAGCGAAACAAGCGTTGCAGGCCTATGGTACTACTAGTTATTGTAATTTGCGCATTGACGTCGATAAAATGTGTAAGACAGTACTGTTGCAGACCTAATTCATGCATTAATTCATGTGTAACTATTATTATTTTAAGTCAACATGGAAAACAGAAAGAGGTCATTTACCATTGACTAGTAGTGTAGTGTCTACGGAGTGTAAGCAATCAAGGATTACCTTGTTGCAGACCTCATACATGCATTAATTCATGTGTGACTATTATTTTAAGTCAACATGGAAAACAGAAAGAGATCATTTACCATTTACTAGTAGTGTAGTGTCTACGGAGTGTAAGCAATCAAGGATTACCTTGTTGCAGACCTCATACATGCATTAATTCATGTGTGACTATTATTTTAAGTCAACATGGAAAACAGAAAGAAGTCATTTACCATTTACTAGTAGTGTAGTGTCTACGGAGTGTCAGCAATCAAAGATTACCTTGTGGCAGACCTAATGCATGCATTAATTCATGTGTGACTATTATTTGAACTCAATATGGAAAACAGAACGAGGTCATTTACCATTTACTAGTAGTGCAGTAGCAGTGTAGTGTATGCTGAGTGTAAGCAATCAAGGATTATCTTGTTGCACTAGCAAAGTATCTGCAAATGATTCGTATATTGCACATACGCGTATTATTATTATTGTCATCGATGCTTATCAATTGAATTTATTTATGCCAAGGTTGCGTAATCCATGCTCTACTACTCACCAAAGCAGGATTGATGAAAGCAGCTGATATTTTATTGTCGATAAGGCCTTGCTTTAACTCTTCCAGGTTGGTAACTTGACAAAATAAGGCTATATGCAGCCAGTATTTGCCATTCAATTTTAGCGACATCCTTGGTGAATTTCCAATTGCAGACCACTGCGGCAGAGGTGTCGTGCCGGTAGGTAAGTGTTCGCTACCCAACACGGGCTAATATGATACACAGCATTGAAAGCTTGACGACGTGTCATGTAAGAAGGGCGTAATGCTTATAGTAACACATAGCGACGGCAGTATAGATTGAGTTGTTGAGTAGCAATAGAGACTTTATTTCTGCACCCGGCGATACGGGATAGTATTCCAGGCTAGTCAGAACTGCAGTAGTAGCCCAGGATTGTGCGCGTGCGCTACTAGACCGTCATTGTATCTGTTTCACTTTGCACTTTTGCACTTTACAGGTAGAATTTACTATAATTCATTCTAATTAAATCAATTCTAATCCATTATTGAAGAAGTTGATACACCATCTGAGTAAAGTTCTATTCTTATTTTACGGTAGCGATGATGAAAAAGATGCTTACTATCGGACTAGACTCACGTGCTGCGTAGAGGATGTAGTAATGTACAAAAAAGATGTCACCTGTCGGCTAGAGTGGTTGAGTACCTACTGTGGGAACACGATGAAGTCACGGTGGCATCGATTTTGCTAGTCAGTTTACACCATTAGTGCTAACTGCATCGAGTATCGAAAGTAATGTGTATAGCGCCATAAGAATCATTGATTTATCCGTATGTAGAGTACATACAGTACACTACAAGTTGCTAGCAAAAATAATGTCACTAATCGTGTATGAAGTATACTGTCCTATACAGTACTGATGCATCATTTCTATACGAGTACAGACTAGCACTGGTTGGATTCTGCTCGAAGCGTCCATAAAGTAAGACATTTCTTTTGCACAGTCTTATCCCACTTTATCGGTATACTGCACTATCAAGAAGGCGCTTGGTCAAAGAGTAGCGTTCGACCTTGATCGCCTACTCAATCTAGAGTGGTTGAGTACCTACTGTGGGAAGACGATGAAGTCATGGTGACATCAATTTTGCTAGTCAGTTTACGCTATTAGTGCTAACCGCATCGAGTATCGAAACTACTGTATAGTGCCATAAGAATCGCTGACTTCTCCATATGTACGTCCACTATAAATCGCTAGCAAAATAATGTCCCTAATCATGTGTCAGTTCATTAGACTCTTAACAAGGGTCTCTATATTGCACTATCAAGGAGGCGCTTGGTCAAAGAGTAGCGTTCGACCTTGATCGCCTACTCATCTAGAATGGTTGAGTACCTACTGGGGAAGACGATGAAGTCATGGTGACATCGATTTTGCTAGTCAGTTTACGCCATTAGCACTAACCGCATCGAGTATCGAAACTACTGTATAGTGCCATAAGAATTGCTGACTTATCCATATGTACGTCCACTACAAATCGCTAGCAAAAATAATGTCACTAATCATGTGTCAGTTTAGAGACCCTTAATTAGACTCTTAACAGGGGTCTCTATACTGCACTATCAAGCAGGCGCTTGGTCAAAGAGTAGCGTTCGACCTCGATCGCCTACTCATCTAGAGTGGTTGAGTACCTACTGGGGAAGACGATGAAGTCATGGTGACATCGATTTTGCTAGTCATTTTACGCCATTAGTGCTAACCGCATCCGAGTATCGAAAGTACTGTATACTGCCATAAGAATCGCTGACTTCTCCATATGTACGTCCACTACAAATCGCTAGCAAAAATAATGTCACTAATCATGTGTCGAGTAAGTTGTCCTATACAGTGCTGATACAACATTTCTATACGAGTACAGACTAGTACCAGTAGGATTCTACTTGAAGCGTCTATGAAGCTTACATTAGTTTTGCACAATCTCATCCCTCTGTATCGGTATACTGCACTATCAAGGAGGCGCTTGGTGAAATCGTAAACGCTCGACCTTGATCGCCTACTCAATCGTCAATACTCGCCTACTGTACTCCACACTACCCTAAAAGCGTGCAAGCACTCTCTTACGGTCTTATCCACGATTGATCATACCGTGCTATGGTTCTTGAGTGAAAAAAACCCGATCGCTTCTCTTATTAGGTAAAATTAATTAGCCAAGGGATAGTGCTTTTAACTTCAACGTGCTATCAATTAACCCTCTGTACGAAAGAGAATACCAAGTGATAATTAGTTGGTATACAGTAAAATGTATCTTCGTGATGACTAGAATAACGATCGAGCGACTGTACAGTATATTGAAAGTAAGGAATTGAATTTGATTGTAGGGTCCCATCGAGCCAATTTGGAACGCCTTGTCAAAGTACCATCTTCATTAATTAAGCGCCTATATTAATCTTTCGAAGAGCTTGAATCCGACGATCAAGTACAGCCTTATTCTATGTTGCAATCATGAGTGATACAAGTCATCCACCTTTACAAGAATCTGGGCATGAAATAGACGATGTTGGTAAGTTAAATACCATTCTTAGTATGGCATTGGTAGCCATCTCGTTTGCAGATAGACGAGTGCTGTCATGACTACAGACATACAAATTCATCTTCCATAATATATATCAACTGTATTCACCTTGCTACTATATTTTGCTGGACTTGAAAAAAATAGCAACATGAACTTCTAAAACTGCCAAGAATCTACAAATTCATCCATGCTGTAGCGTAGGTGAAAGACCCATGTGCAATATTACCCTACGATACAGTGTACAGTATACTGTCATAATGAATGATATCATGAAAGGATAATCTTCAAAAAGTTGATAAAATGAAATAGATCGACTACGGACGATGCCAATAAAAATATGCGTACAAAGGGATCGGATATGATCCAATATCGATTAGTACGTATTGCTGTCATGGCTACTTTAAAAGCCTGTCGTTGTCAACGGCTGCACAATCATGGAGTGGGCCACTGGCTACGAGTTGCAATAATACCAGTTGTACAACTGGTGTGTTATCACTTGGTGCTTGCTCATGAATTGAAATCACGAAAGATTCATCAAAATTTGCTCTTTGCATAGAAAATATGACGCAGTACTGGAGTACTATAGAATCCATCCAGTTCTTACGTTGATTTAGTAAAAGCCACACAACTATAGTACTGTACTGTACTTTTCTCGACTGCATGAAAATAATTTGCAATACAAAGCAACATACTCTTCTCTTGCTGGAATGGATACTGCTGTAATATGCACTATAACTTTGTCATTTTCGTAATAAAAATATCGATTAATGACACCGTAGAGCTTTACTGTACTGACTATGCTCTAAAAGTAATATAACACAAGAATATTTGCCCAAGGCAAAATATTCCTGCATTGGCCTTACAGTGATCTACTGCATTAGTCGTAATTAATGAACTTCGGATTCATAACGTTAAATTAATGATGCATCGGGATTGGCTACTTTGACTAAAATATGTCATACTTATCTAGTACGATAGATGGAATTGACCATGGTAGTTAAACATCTTGATAATACGCACCATTTTTTACACACAGTTATAAAATTTGAAGTTGACTACTATGATAATAATAATAATATTAATTAGCTACATTATTCTTGGTTACATAATACTGTAGATTTGACTGAATAAACCCAAACTACAGCCGATATGTGGAAAAGTACGAGAATATTAGAAATAATCTACTTGTATAGTTGTGTGCTCTATCTCCCCGATGTGTGAATTAAGATTACTGTTGATAAGCTATGTAGTATGCCCCACAGCATTTGTATAGCTGTTTGCATATCCAGAGGCGGTAATTATTAGAAACTATTATCGGCTTCCATTTATAATTATTGACAGCTAACCATTGTTAGTACAGTTTCATACATATTTTACAATAACAAACTTCGGAAATATCTCAATATCATTACGTAGAGTACGATCTGAAATCAACATTTCTCCCGTTCTTTTCTTTTAATTGTGCACCCATGGAGAATATACATGTACGCGTACGTTACTGTTCATACGCGTATAGAAAGCATAACTAATTGATTTAATCATTATTCATATTTCAGAAGACAAAAGTGGCGAAGTCTTAAGTCAATCCAGTTTGAGGTAGAAATTAAAAATTTTTAACGTATTCTCACGTATTCTTTATCACAAATGTATTTGATACAATATTTATATCCTTAAAATTTCTCTTCTTTCTCACTTTGCTAAATTAAAGCTTTAGCAACATCGAGCCTCCGTTACCTACGGTAAGCAAGAATTTCGATTTTCATTCGATTCATGGTGTTTGTAGACATTTTGCATGCTTCAACCTCAAGCTGTACATAGTTATCTGTACTAAATCATATTGTAATAGAAACACATACTGTATATTGTACAACTGTCAATTTCATACTCAATTTAACGTATTCAATATTATTTAGACCTCGATACAATCATTTCAACTATCGCAATTTCTTATGGAAAAAGACTTATTTTCGAACTCAGACAGCAATAATGTTCGCCAAACAATGTACTTGCCCTATGTATTTTAATGACTTGTATGCTATCTCATTGATATAGCTTTCAGTTGCACAAAAATGACTACTACAACTTTCTCGAAATTTCTTAGACATTTGGGCGGTGAAGAGAAATGCTATAGCATTTACGGTAATGAGATCAAGATCATTACAAAAGAGTCTTCTTCCTGTAGTAACAAGGTATTCAAAAATTAAATTAATAATATAATGTCTTTCTAGCTTGCTTCCTTATCTGACCGATATTATCGCATTACTTTCATCAATCAAATTGCTAGATATGTTGTAATTGACTCATTGTTTTTGCTCATAAATATGATTAAATGACTGCAGAATGCACCTGGAATAATTTGATTGCTTTATTTACAAAATAGGTTAAGTTTAAAACTATTGTTGATTACAACTGGGAACAGGGCTATTATTATAGCAATACCATTGCTGTCAATGAGAACTTCGTTTCTTACGGATTGAAAGGTACAGTATCATCAAATGTCTAAATTTACTTCGTCTTAAAAATAATAATATTTGAGCCAGCTTTTCAGCAATCGCTGCTTAAGGTTAACGTTGCCTGACAAAAGTATTAAATTTTTTACATTTTTATCTATTAGGTCGTAATGGATTTCTAGTTAGGGTTATAAATCGAAATGACAAAAATATTACATTGTTACTAAAAGGAGCAAAAGCAGCAATTGATGAGTTAGCATTTGCTAATTATTTTTCGAATAAGTTAGCTTTCATCGATAAAGCCGGAAATTTATTCGTAAGATTAATTACTTTGGAAGATGGATCACTAAAGTATGTAATAGATTTGAAACTGAAATCAGTTACTTCGCAGCAATGAGCGATGTTACTGCAAGTAGGACCTAATTTCAAATTGTCATAACAGGGAAACATCGTTGTTGCATATCGAAGGCTGGAATACTTCTAAATCTAGCATTAATCGTCTAATTTGGAATCAATCACTGTATGAAAATACTTGCACGGAAGTCGACAAGCCAGGCGAAATATCAGCCCCATACTATGTAGCTATTGCTAGCGGCAATCAGGTGCAGGCTCAACTTAGACTAATCTCGATGATGTTGCAATTATTTTTTGTAATCACTAATTTATATCTTGTTTCGGCAGGTCAAAGTATTTGATATCACAGCTCTGATATCGAACAATGTATCTTCGATAAATATAGCAGATTTACGGAAGCACTATGCGTGTATTAGTGACGACAGTTGCGCAGTAAGTAGATTAACCTCGAACTTAAAATTATCAGTAGCGATAAAAAATTCTCTAACGTAGAATGTAGGAATAAATATTACTATTCATAATAAAACTATTTAGACAATTTACGATCTGGCGTTAACTGCCGGAGGAGATACGTTGGCTACTGCTGGCAATGATGGCACTTTGAAATTTTGGAAAATAAGCACATCTAATCCAAAAGAACAAATGTAAGTGTTAGCGTCTTTGTTTTCATGACTTGTCTAATAGGCGAGAATAAAACTCAGTCTCTTCTCTCTTAAAGGTGCGTTCATTTGCTTAGTAAACCGCACGATGGTGCTCCTATACATACGCTAAAATTTTGCGATGATATTACCACTCGGGACGATAGGTATATCTCTGTGGCTCGTTAAGGTTAACATGACAATTGAAGACAAATTTAAAAAATTCCCCAATTTTTCGATCTTAGTGAAGCTTTTTGGCGTTTTTTGATAACTGCGTCAAAATTTAACCATGAAATAAAGATCTGGTGCACAGTAGATTGGACATGCTTGCAAACTATTCGGTACGAAATTTGTATCCAACTTCCATGAAAGTTCAATATTGATTAAATTATTTGTGTCTTACAGATTTACCTACCCTCCTGAAGAATCTAATGATGGTCAATTGTATGTGCAAATTATTATAGTTTACGCTACGATCGTAGGCCATTTTTAATATCTGTTATCATCAATCATGCAGATCACCCATTCTGCAAGTAGCACTGGATAGGACAGCATCATACTTAACTCTATCCGATATCAATCGGAAGGTTTGCACTGACTTGTAGTATCGTTTTATATTCGTACGGAGACCTAACGTTCGAATAATTTCCATCATTACTTTTTCTCTTTACATGGTAGATGCTCTACATTCTTAAGTTACATCAAAATGTAGAAGAGAATCTAGCATCAGCAACATCTATTTCTGAATTTTCGTTAGCACGATCGATTTTGCAGTTTTCCATCACTAGAGCAAAGCGCCTTACTTCTGTTGAAATGAGAGCTGAATTAACAGAAAGTGACGAGGATGACCTGGAAGATGATTTCAGAAACACTTCATCCGTTGATGACTTGCATATTCAGTCGTTAGGTAGCGTCATAGAGATGACGACAGTCGATACTAGGTTGGAAACATGAAGTATTTTTTATGTGAACTCTTTCGAATCTTTTGATGTATACCGTTGATTAATGTGTTGGTAATATTGCAGATCTATCCAAGACGTGAAAATACGTTTTCAGCCTAATCCGACGGAGCCTACTCCTTTGTCTTCCGTTACATCAGGTACATTTAGTGCAGTATTTCGATTAACGGCCATGAAACGATTTTGTACTTTATTTATTACTCAACTTTTATTTTTGCTATATCAAGCTATGCAATCAATCGCCTCAAATCTGGCAAACTCGACGACATCTAATGAATTTTTGCCTAATCTTGAAGACAGTATCTCGATGTTATCTACCCAGAATTCTAGCATGGGTACCGTTACGCCATTGCAAGTAATGTCTCCTGATGCGTTCGAACTGCCAAAGTCAGCGAATACTATTGATGACAACATAGATAGTATCGCTTCGTTATCCAAGGCTCCAAATATAGCTACGGAGCCAAAATCTTATGACACATTAGATAGTCAATTTGTACCCAAGGAACAACTGTCACACGGTTTAAATGTCGATGAAATCTCTCGGGAAAAGGAACTTGAAACCCCTACTTCAACTCATGATAGTGCTAAAAAAGATTTAATCGATAGTAACATTTCAGAATCCACAGTTAATGATAACGATGAAGAAGATGTAATCATAGAAGATGACGAAATTGGTGTTGACTATGGAAGCGCTATCGATGAGCAACCATTGACTTGCCATGTTGCGACAAATGCTACTACTGATTCCATCAAAGGTACAATTTTGGTTCATAATCATGACACAATCAGAGATATTCATTATATAATTGCATTAATTTTGATGTATGATGTATCTCTACCAGCCGCCACAAATGAGGAACTAGCAGATAGAATCAGTAGTACTACTAGTAGCAACAGCGAGGGGTTACCATCTGCAGAGCATGATCACGCTATTCACGTGCCTCCCGCAACTTCAGATGCTACTATGACCCCAGATGTATCTTTTACGCAAAGGTCTATAAATATTTCAATATAGAATAATGTTTTATGATTTTATAATCCTTTGCCGTTAGCTTTAATAACTGTATTGAAATACGTTTGCAATGTAGGGCATCCGAAGTTGATAATCTTGCATCTGATGGCAAGCAGGTTGAAACTTATTAACTTGCAAGCTAGTTACCGCTAACATTGATGGCTGGATAATTAAAAGCATTTATCCTATATTTCAGGTGGTAGAACAATTAAAAAGCATTATTATAATGTTGAACGCCCAGAAGTCTGAAATAAATGACTTGAAAAAGCAGCTGAAAGATTCTACAAGATCCGTAGTTACTAAAACTTCCTCTACTGCAAATAATATCAATAACCGATTAAGCAGTTTGCAAAACACTTTACGTCAAGACCGTAAGTCCATAGCATTCATAATTTAATAAGAACTAATTCATCAGTGTTTATCTTCTACAGTAAATTATCTTATACATTGATTTTAGGCCAACGATTTGATCAATCACAACGTACTCAGCAACAGCAAGAGTATCAACAACTCGATAAAATTCAAGTCAGCGTAAATCAAGCACAATCTAACACTGTCGGTCGAATTGAAAAAATTATTAAAAATGAAATTAAAACGACCATTATTCCTAGTAAGTCATTATTATCCTGCACTTATTTCCACATATTAATCAACACTGCATGAACAGTTTACGAAATCTGTATTATTAGGCATCGTATCAAACGTCTCATTAATTAAAGGACAATTGCCACGAGATAACGTAAGATATTTTGGTGGAGAGTACATTTAAATTTGTCCTTTTATTCAGATGTTCGCATAACACTAATCACTTGCTTTTTTAAACTTTACTAACACGGACGTTAGAAACCTTCGGATGCTGTAGTAAAGCAATCTATTCGTGATTTATTTCTGGACAAGGTGTGTGTGCATGCTGATAAAATTCTTTCTACACTAACGCTAATATAAAAGGACGTTTTACCAGTTTGATTTCTTATGATTATTTTATAAGGCTGTCATGCAGAGCGTCGGCGATAGATTGATATCGTCTTTAAAGCCCAATCTTATTAGTGCTTGCCGTGAAAGTTTTGTGAACAATTTAGTACCAGCATTTGAGAAATCTTGTATGGAAATGATAAAGCAGTTTGATGTTAGCATTCAGAAAGGAATTCAAGACTGTAAGCCTAACTATATTACCTAGTTAGCGTAGTTATATTGTGCTTACATTGATACGAGTATCTCTATATGTTCTTCAGATTTAAAACAGACAGAAACATATTTAGAAAAGAGCATACTACAACAGCAAGAGAGCACCAAAGCTGTGTTTGTAAACGAATTTAAGAATATTGAGTTGAGTCTAAGTCAGAATCAAGATGTTAATAGACATAAGCAGCTATTACAAACCATGTCTACTATGCATCAAACTTTAGCGGATGAATTTCAGAAGCGCCTAGATAAGTGAGTGAGATAAACAAATTGAATGAGATTATTTTTTATTATAACCATACATATTTTTGAAATTAACTTAAAAATCGTATATTGGCAGCTTTAAAGCAGAGATTGCAGAATCGGTAAAGCATATTGTTAACGAACAACTCAAGAATGCAGGTAGCGCTACTAACACTGCTAGTAGTACACCAACTTTGAGCCGAACAGATATTATCAAGGTAGGCCACTATCGGTACTCTAATAAGGTTGAATGTTGAGCTACAATGATTACTTTTCAAATTCACTTATAGAAGGAAGTAAAGGCTTTATGCGATCAAGGAAAAGTTGTGGAAGCTTTCCATAAAGTAATAATCTAACTCTGCTCTAAAGATTATCTTGTACGCTAATTGATGTACTGATATTAGTTCTTCTATTTGCCTAGGCATTACATACTTCTAATGTTAGCATCGTAACGGAGCTTTGTCGAAATGTTTCCTCATCTGTTATTTTCACCGGAAATGTTTGTCTTTTATCCCAAGCTATGCTACTATCACTAATACAGTATTTATCTGTGGAGATGACGAACGATATTGAATTAAAGATTGGGTAAATATCAAAGATAACAGTTATAGGAAGGATTATCAATCAACGAATATAAAACGTAACAGTATTTATGATAATGATTGCCATCTTTTCGTTGCAGTTACTTGGAAGATTGTATAATGGCTCTTGACTTTACCGATGGAGTTACAAAAATGCATGGTGCTAAGATACTGCAAAGTTTATTGGACCACATCAATCGCATCTTGTTGATGTCAAATGAGTATAAAATATCGTCAACCATTGTAAAAAAGTTGAAAGTTTTAAAGTCTTTGTCGACGTCACATTTAAAGTAGACGTTAATCTATAAGCATTTTCTGTGGATCTTTACGGTTTTCGTTATTCTATTGATTTTAAGTTAAGACGTTTACTTAACTTAAATCCCCAAGTATTACTGAAATTTGTACGATAATTGTTACTTGGAATTACAGTAATTCATTTAATAAACTTTCTTTAACGTATTAATGTCAGCGGCAATGTATACTCCGGATTGGCAGGTTTCACATAATTTTTCATAGTAATACAATTGCTGTATAAACCTTCAAAGTTTTGTTCCTTATTATTTGATGAATACTTCTACGGTATCTTTGCACTGTACTGTAAAAAAGGGAACTTCAGTGAAAGTTTTATACGTTTATACAGCAATCACTCTAAAAAAATATTGTAAAACTTTTCATTCAACTTATTACATTGTATATATATATATATACAACACGTTTCTATGAAGCTTGTCTATGCATAATTTATATACCGTGTTAAAGCGTAGAACTGCTTTGCTTCTATGTAGATGGTTCAAGTCTCGAATTTCAAGATAGTTGAACATGTAGGTTAAATTCTAGTATATCTTAATTTGTTGATGTTGCCTATTAACAGAAATATGTTAAATTTTAACTGCTTGGTAGTACGCATCAATTTTATGTTATTTAAGTTATGTGATGGTGAAAGATAAATACCTAGCCGATTGCTGCACTGTCTTTGATAACTTTATAGTTACAATTTTAATTCAACCGAACAAATGACCTTTATCGAATTTTTGTTATACTCATGATAATACCCTTTTTAGTATTGGAGCAATATATGCGACATGTGAGTACAGTAAATCGGTGTTTAAATCCTAATTAACAGTTGAGATATTATGTAGCAAATAAACGAACAGCAAATGCGATACGACGACTGAGAGATAGCTTAATTTCATATTGAAGGTGAAAAGTGTCTTAGAAAATGTATAGTTAAATGAAAGTATTATAATGTAGCAGCCTTGTGCCTTAAAAGGTAGTCTGAATACCATAGAATGTGAAAAGTGTCTTAGATAAAGTAGCCGAGTATGTGGCTAATAAATAATGCATTGTAAAGTCATTACTTTGTGCAGTTATAATTTAGCTATTGTTACTGATATACAAAATTTCTAATCCTTATATTAGTGACTAATGAAATCCAGTGATAAACTGTATAACAGAAGTCGTGCTATCTCCGATAGCTGCAACAGTTAGCTGGCTAAGTGGTCAGACATAGAACTTTTACTTTCAAATCTATCCTACTGTACTATTAGTGACTGAAATGTTGTTAAAAAAAAATAACTTGATACTATTTCAACCCATCTAAAGTAAGTAAGAAAAGCCTCATTCCTTTTCCTTAGCCTGCTAGCGACCCCCCCCCCCTACTGTTGGTACAAATGAATGCATAGGCTAGAAAATGCTCTTACAGTCGTATACGAGACCTTACACATAGATGGATTTGTTGATTTAAAGAACACGTATACCTACGCTAGAATTTATGCATCAAAGCTTGATAAAATTAATTGATAGATGAGATAATCATACAATATACGATTAACTAAAATTTGTAGTATGGAATGAATTAATTAGTAGCCGCCAACATAACCAATCCTGTACCACCCTTGCAGCTATAACTGCTTCCGCTGTCACTTTACTTGTGATATACAGTAAAACACCTTGAAAGCATTCCTTGAAATCTTTCCTACTCATCTAAGTAAACTTAAAATGCCTTATTGGCCGTTTTAACCTTTACTTGTCAAGTACATTATCGCATAGAAAGCTTTCATCATAACGTATATCATGCTCAGAGTTGCAACTGTACTGCAGAGCTCAATAAAATTAATCGAACAATGGCGTCGCCAAGGCGACTAATTATAATCGTTAATTAGGGACTAGCCCTATTATTATACATGGTTCCAAACACTTTACTAATGTATACTAGCAGAACAAATTTTTATCTATCAGAATTGGTATAGAATTACTAACTTTATCCATGTGATTCTAGCCAGAAGAGGAAAGACTGTTATTATCACTATCTTATTTCATTCTTATTCGTACTCAAGAGTAAAATGGGCGATTCAGAAACACCGATTAGCACTGGGAATTGGGAGCATTCCAAGTTAGCCCAAGTAAGCTGATAAAAATTAATATAAGTAGAATAACATTGCAATAGCTACGATATTTGTTCATGATGACTTTTCGTTATGAGATGAATCCAAATGTCCTTTTTCAATATCTTAACTTCTTGGTCTAAACATTATACGTACGATGGATGGTTGATAAGATCTTCAAGTTATTAATCTTGGTGATGATTTTATCTGATAAATATTATCAAAAATATTTACTCTATAGCATAGATGATAGCAATATTCTATTACCTGTTAATACATTTATTATTATCATATTGAACCAGATATGAACTAATGATAGTTATTGTGATTATAATGAAGAGCCACTAGGGTGCAACTAGCCAATAACTGTAACTTAACTTCTCCATCCATATTCAATATCGAGCACCTACTGTTTTTCCACGCCTTTACGCCAATTACTTTCTAGTAATTATTATGAACGTCGGTCTCAATTCACTTTTACGACTGATCTACCTATCGCAGATTATTGAAGAATCGGTAGTAGTCGTTCCTTACACTTGCAAGTCCTTGTTTCCTATCTGATTCCTGACTGCACTAATGTTAAGCTTCAAAGTTGCTCTTATTGGTTTCCTCTACTTACTATCGACTGACTTACTTTCCTACTGACTTAATGATATTTATGCTTGCTTATTTAACTACTATCTCATTTTTTATAAGTTTAAATTAGATTTTAGTACCAATTAGTACTTTTTCTTACTTATACATCTACCATACTGCACTAAAAATTGCTACCAATTCTTCTTAGCTAACACCTAATTCCTTACTACGCTGAAGCCAAACTTTTAAGCTTATTGGCTGTTACTACTTTAAATTCGCTATTACTCCTTCCCCTTTCTCACTTAAGATATTTATTTATTTACTTGTCAGGGTCTTTACTGCGTCAAGTTGTAGAACCTGTTGTTTGTTTTCTATCTAATTTTTGACCAGACTTATTTTTAACTTTAAAATAGCGCCTGCTCCACCTTTCTGTTTACTTACTTTACCATATGGTTCTATATTGAAGCAAGTTTCAAAGTAGAGTTATTATTATTCCTACCTTTGACTTATTTTATTAGCATTCGGCTCTTAACTTCACTAAATTCTAGACTAATCCTGACCTAAAGTCCGTCTTATTCCTTTCCTTTACTTACTGGCTTTGATAGCTACCCTATACGGATCAAATACTAGTTTATAAATCCTGTTGCTATTTTCCTCGACTTAATTACTTCAATAGCTAGTTTAGTAGTAGTAAGCTCAATATTAACTTCAAAAGCCGCGTAACTAGCTAATCTTCAAATTGCAGTCACTTTATCACTTGTTTTACATACTCGTTTACCGTACTGTATAATAATTCTCCACCACGCCAAATTCTAGCTTTATCGTCAATCATCACTAATTGTAGCCGCCTTATAATAGCGGCGATTTCATAATCGGAATAGACAGTAGTCGCATCAATATATATTGTTATATGATCGACTATTTTTTAAGCAACTGCATTTGAAGGCCCACGAAAGCTACATAATCCAACTTTGATCTTATAATGAATAAACAACAACTAAGATTAGTCAGTACATGCAGCAATGTCAGTGACAAATCTGAGGTATCAGTCTTATGCGATTCCTCTGGAGAGGTATAATTTGTAGACTTAATAACGTAGTAATCAGTTGCTATAGAGTATTCAGTATTGAATAATATGTTTTATTTTCTCTGTTTTAATGAGAGTTAATCTTGGCTGTTTTTATCCGCATTTCTAGGTTCGAATGAAAGTTTTTCGTGGTCATTTCGATGCTATTAATTCATGCCAATTTTGCAATCGAGATTCACTAATTTTATCCGCATCGAATGATAAAACAATTCGATTTTGGGTAAGATTAATCTCTAAAAAGATAGTGCAAAACCTGAATATGCAAGTGGTATACCAGAACAACTTTACCTAGGATCTTTAAATGTCACTAAATTTAGCAGGTAGCATCAATTACTTACCGTAACGAAATATTAATTTTTTAAGGAAAGCGATGGTGGAAGCCAATTGCAAAGTTTAAACTTACATACAGATATAATTTCTTGTTGTCGTGTAAACTCAAAAACGGACCCGTAAGTTATTTTAAATTCAGACTGCTTTCGTACCGGTATTAAGTAATTTGTAAGTAATGGCTAGCAGTATTTCCAGATTTCTTTTCAATTTTCCTAACTTTCCTAGTAAATTTTCATTTGTTACATCGAGTTGGGATAAATCGGTAGCAAAATGGGATGGAGAAACCGGTCAAAATCTGGTAAGAATAAAACTGGAATAGTTTTAACTTTGTGTCTGCGATATCATGCCATGACTACATAGATCTTAGAAGCCATTCACTATTACTTATATGGATTATTTATTACGATATATGCAGTGGAGAGGCTTTCATGATGGTATTGTTACTACTTGTGCAATATCATCTGATGCCCATGTCATAGTGTCAGCATCCGATGGCGACTATGTCATAAAAGTATGGGATACAAGAACCGACGAAAATGCAGTCCATACTATTAAAAGTAATTATAGACAATCAATATTGGCATAGCTAAGAATTAATATTAGATTTTTAATCATAGATGATCAAGATACTAACCTTTAAAATTAGATATCTTACAAGACAAGTTCTTGAACTAAATGCATTAGCAATTACAACTTCAATCTGCATATTACTCCTATCTTCAGTCATACAGGGTTTTGATCTAGATACATTTCTTGAAGAATTAGACAACTTCCTGGGATATAGTAAATTGCTAAATTAGATACGTTATCAATAAATACGATCTATGTATTACTGAATTTTCAGTTACAAAGCATCGGATTTAAAAGCAAAGTACTAAAAATTAGATTTTTCTATGATAACTATTGAACTAAAGATATAATTAAAAATGACTCGGCTTGTCTTTACCGGACTTTTAGTTTTGAAGCATCTGACTTATATACCAGTTACAGAATTAGATATTTCCTATATCTATTAGCCTCAAATTAGATCGATATATCACCACATCTTTAATCATGTTTGACTACGTGCTAAATCTTTAAAATTAGATGCCTTATACATTGACCTTTACACCTAAATATCTTATATACTGTACTAAAGAGTTAATAAATATTTTGAAGTAGGCTCAACTTGTATTCATTATTACCGTACATTTTTAATTATATCAGTATATCATCTCCTAAAATTTATCGGATATACCTTACAGTAGATTCTTATGTAGATTCTTAGGTAAAAAATAAATAAATTATGAATAAGATACTGATAACCATTAACTTGATCTGCATATGAAAAGATTTTCATCGTGGATCCGTTACTAGTATCGCCTTCCATCCGGATAATTCAAGGATTTGCACGACATCATCAGATATGACAGCAAGAATATGGGATTTTAACTCTACATCAACAACAGCTCAATTAAGGTTAAGATAATAGCAGCAAATTGTTCTTAGAGCTATTCTAGAATATTAGTGTTTGTTGTTAATTACAATCAAAATGCAGCTGGAAACTGAATTTGTCTTATTAACAGTAAAATAAATTTTCTCGTAAATTAGTGGGCACAAAAATATTGTTAGCTGCTGTGCGTTCTCCAACAATGGACGCATGTTATGTACTGGCTCTTGGGATAAATCTCTGCATCTTTGGGATATTGCCACTGGTTCATATAGGTATTAATAGTTCAGATTAAGCAATAAATATTCTCGATAATTGTATCTGGTTCTATCAAGACCTTAACCTCGCGTCTGTTCTAGACGTACTGGACCGAAAACTATTGAGAGAGGCCATGAAGGATCAATTAGTTCATGCTGTTATTCGCCCGATGGTTAGTTGTCATGTAAATTCTGTATACTGATACCTATATACCCATATAGCTTCGAAATTTGTAGCTTTGTCAACAGATAGTCGTAAATAACTTTAAAATTCAATACTATATGTTATTGCGCTTATATGATTACTTAATAGATTAGTGCTATCGTCTTTACTTCGTATCAACAGAAGAAATGTACACTCATTCAACCAAAGAAACCTAGCAAATTGTCAAATCTATCAATTCTCGATTTATATCAAATATTTAGATACTATGCTAGCCTCAGCTTCTTACGATCAAAATGTCATTATCTGGGATACTAAGTATAACTTACAGAAATTCAGCTTAAAGGTAAAAATGGTGAAAATAATCTTTATTCTAAAGGGAATATCATTCTAGTTCTAAAGCTATAACGAAAATTTCTTACGTGCATTCAGGGTCATAATGGCTGGGTAAACGATGTATGTTTTAGTCAAGATCAAAAGTGGGCACTAACGTGTTCATCGGTAAGTACAAGGAAGGAAATCTTGAAAAACTGACATCAATTATTAGGAGATATTGCATATTACAGTTAAATTTGTTACTTTTAAAGAGTAATACAACTTAAATTGCGATTAGGATATGACTATAAGAATGTGGAATATTGAATCTGAGGAGAAGATGCCTATATTTTTGGCCAACAAGATTAGTCTTGGTTTAAAGCTTATTGAGGTAATTTATGACCGTTTCAGCTAATATTTTATCCTTTACATGACTCCAACACATTACGTATGCCTTTATAAATTTTGCAGTACATATGTGTAAGTATCGATTGAATCTTTAAAACAGTTCTTCTAGTTTTCGCAACCTCGCTAACACGACCATCGTCACTTACGCAACTTAGAGTAAATATGTACTATAACTAAAATTTTATTGCATTTTGGATATCTGCAAATATTATCGATATGATGGCGTAGCAATAGCTAAATGCTTACACAAACTATGACGTGTAGAGATTAAAACAGTAATAATGTCGACAGCATTATTGTAGCGGCAGTATCTAATAGAAATAGTAAGGTCTTGATATAGTAGTTTACTCGCAGATAAACTCTGGAGGCCTTTTTATAAGCACGTTTTATTTAGTTTCAAAATACTTTCATTAATAATAAAAATGATATAATTACTACCATACATTAACAAACAGCATTTTAATATCACAGGTAGTAGAATTTTACCTATACTTTTAGTGATTTATTTAAATAATTTATAGCAGTGATACAATAACAACTAAAATAAGTACCTGACTTTAGCATCGCAAATCGTAAAACTCTACTTTGTTTTATGATTCTAATAATTTATAGGTTACAATAAGACGATATATTAATAACTGATTAGAGAGTAACAAGTAATAGAGCATTACATATTAACTTAAGATTTACTTCCATCTATTAATAAAGATTTAATTAATCATAAAACTCCAATTCTATCTTTGTTCTTAGTGTACTCAATGCGGCAAGAAATTTTCGATTACGGAAGCTGGAGATGATTTATCGCTGACTCGATGTGTATTCTGCCGATTAAAAGATCGATCGAAAGTTTTAAATATAACAACAGAAATTGAATAAAACGGAGCACATTGGATATAAGGCTGAGGTAAATACCCAAGCTATGAGAAGATTGGCTTACTAATTCAACGTTAACAACTTTTCTTAAAATCATAACGTTTCAGCGTGTGAAATTGAATTATTAATTTATTTTTAATAGTGGATTATAATCAAAATTTTATTATCACTTTAAATATTATACATACTCGACGGTGCATTATCTTCGATCCATCTCGTTATTTCGGACATGATTCGATGTTAATTTCTGTCTGTTATTAAACAGATATCCAGACAATCTAATTCGTTGTCATTTAGCAATAATATGCGCGCTTGCCGATTTTGCAATATCTCAAGATAATAATTTAGTGAAAAGACAGATCAAATTGATTTATAGGCTTTTTTGTTTAATTAAAATCCTTTATAAAGGAGCAAATACCAAATTTTGTATATAATTAATTCTACGGAATATATGGTTACAATTGCGTAGCTAGCATTATTTTACTACTGAATGTATATAATCACTCTCAGGATAAGAAATTATGGATGGTTTTGTCTCATGGTAATAAAATTTATTTAATTCCATATTGATAGGAGGCTACTTTGTCGAATAAAAATTAAAAATTTAACTCTATGACCACCTTGTTATTGTAATACACCTAGTAGGAATAATTTAGTCGTCAGTAGTCATAAGTAAAGGTTAGTCGAATACCATCAGTCGTAATATTTGTAACACCGAAAATAGATGAAAATATTGCTGGTATGGATTGATTACATATATATATACCTATATACAACAGTACTTGCAGTGCCTGATAAAGTATCTTCGATCATAAACCTGAGTGCTATTTGTGATGGAAAAGGTTGCTATTACGAGCTAGTACAAGATCAGTTATCTAATGAAATGAATAGTAAAGTCTTTTAAGCGCTCATAATGATAGATTCAGGAACCTACTGCCCACTATCATTAAAAATTAAAATTATTCCCAACTACTGAAGAAACGGAGTAACTTCCTCATGTTCTCATTCTCTATTTTTGTATCAAGTTTAGTCGTTAAAAGTTGACTACAAGTAGATATATATGAGACTTTATTATAATTGCTTGCTTCATTGAATATTTTGTAATTAATTTAATAATACAGGGTAGCTAGCGAAATTATCATTTTGAACACGTTATTATAACTTATCACAAACTATATAAGGCTGTATTAAAATGATAGCAAACTAAATTTGAATATACAATTGCTAGAGAAGTAATATACTATTAAAATAAGTATATTCATAAGTACATTGAGAGTAGAATTACGAAGGTTATAATATAATTAGAATATTATATCTTAAGCTGGTCTGCATGTTTGTCATACTTTGTTTCTGATATACAGTAATAATTCTATTCTATTTTCTTTTTATTATGCTAATATTATGCCAATTATAGACTAGTTGAATAGAGAAGGCATTCTTCTGATCGATAATTAGAAATTTGCAAGGCAAATGAGATAAATTACCAGCGTGATATGTTCAGAACATCAGGCTACAGCTAATATTGAATTATAATACATATTGGTCAAGTATAGTCGATAATAAATTTGGAAGACCTGAACTACTTAGCTAACATATGCGGAAGTTATTTTCGGCTCCAACCACGATTTTCGCTTTACTCATATTAGCTACTAGATTGAATAATTTATTTTCCGAGATTTTATTCGATCTTGAATTTACTAATTTTAATTCAGAATTGAAAACATGGCCAACCTAGAGGTATCTATCACGCATCTTCCTCAACCAATACATACTTTATTTATGAAAGGTAAAGAAAGTCGCAAATCTGGCAATCTTAAGGAAGCGATGTTTTATTATGCACAAGTCTTAGATAGGATACAAGCAATATCAGAAAATACTGTTGATCTTGATCGATTTCGAAGTGAGGTTTACCTAGATATCAGTGCTATATATTGGCAGCAGTGTAAATGGAAGAAAGCTGAAGAATTTAATGAAAATGCACTTAAAATAGCTGAAAAGCTGGAAGAAAAAGAGATATTTGTCAAATGTTTAGGAAGAAAAGGTGACATTAAATGGCAACAAAGTGACTATGATGGGGCACTGGTTAATTATACCAAGCTATTAAAGATATATCTAAGTTTAGAGAAGAAGGATACCGATATCGCAAATTTGTATCAGGACATAGGACATGTTCATTTTGCACAAGGTAGACTCAACGAGGCCTTGACACAGTATGAAAAATCGCTTAAAATTCAATTGTCAGTGCTTGACCACAATCATCCCGATATTGCCAGATCATATAACTATATAGGGGAGGTATATTGCGATCAGGGAAAGTACGAAAAAGCAATTGATGTGCATGATAAATCACTCAAGATTCGATTATCAGTCCTTGATCAGAATCATATCAATGTTGCTGAATCTTATAACAATAAGGGAAATGTATATTTCAAACTGGGAAAGTACGATGATGCTCTATCTATTTACGAGAAAGGGCTCAAAATTCAGTTAAAAGTTTTTGGTGACAATCATTTCGATGTTGCCAACTCATATAGCAATATAGGAATTGTCTATGCTGCTCAAGGCAATCTTGAAAAGGCTATTCCTTTGTATAAAAAGTCGCTCGAAATTCGGTTATCAGTCTTCGGTGACAGTCATGCTGATGTTGCTACATCATATAATCATCTGGGAAATGCCTATTCTCAGCAAGCCAAGTACAAAGAAGCTATTGATATGTATAAGAAATCACTCAAAATTCGATTAAAGATTTTTGGTCCCAATCATCTTTCTGTTGCCAACTGTTATAATTACATAGGAAATGCCTATTACTTTCAGGGCGAGTATGAAGAAGCTTTATCTATGTATGACAAATCTCGTAAAATTAAATTATTAGTTCTTGATCACAATCATCCCGAGGTTGCGGACTTATGTGATAATATCGGACTTATCTATCGTGAACAAGGTGAACTTGAAGAAAGTATTCTTACGCATAAGAAATGTCTTAAAATGCGATTATCGGTCCTTGGTTCCAATCATCCTGATATTGGTAAATCGTACAACAACATCGGCTCTGTCTATTTTTGTCAAGGTAAATATGATGAGGCTATTTCTAACTTCAAGGAGTCTCTCAAAATTCTATTATCGGTCTTGGGTGATAGTCATCATCTTGTTGGTAATTTATATAACAATATAGGAAATGTCTATGATAAACAGGCTAAATATGAAGAGGCCATTTCTATGTATAAGAAATCACTCAAAATTCGATTGTCGACTCTTGGTTGCAAGCATCCTTTTGTTGCTGGGTCATATGGGAATCTAGGAAATTGTTATTCTCAGCAGGGTAGACACGAAGACGCTATTTCTATGTATCAGAAATCACTCGACATTCAATCACATATCCTTGGTAGTAGTCATCCCGGCGTTGCCAAGTTGTACGCCAACCTAGGAAATGTCTATAGCAGTCTGGGCAAGTATAAAGAAGCTCTTTCTATGTATAATGATTCGCTCAAAATTCAATTATCAGTCCTTGGTCATAATCATCCTGGTGTTGCTACATTACATGACTGTCTGGGAACAGTTTATTCTAAGCAGGGAAATCATGAGGAGGCTCTTTCTGCGTACAATAAGTCACTCAAAATTCGGTTGTCAGCCTTTGGACATAATCACCCCGATATTGCCGCTTTATATATCAACATGGGCAATGTCTATAGAAATCAAGGCAAACGTGAAGAGGCTATTTGTATGTATAAGAAAGTAATCGAAATGCAATCATCAGTTCTTGATCAAAACAATCTCCTTACAGCCGAAGCACTTACCAATCTGGGAATTGTCTATACTGATCAAGGCAATCATTCAGAGGCTGCTTGTGCTTTTGAGAAGTCGCTCACAATTACACAATCAGCCCTTGGTCATTATCATCCTGATGTTGCTATAATATATGACAATTTTGGAACTCTCTATGGGTGTGAAGGTAAGTATATCGATGCTCTTTCCATGTACGAGAAGTCAGAAGAAATTAAATTATCAAGTCTTGGACGTGATCATCCCGATTTGGCCAAATTATATAACAACATGGGCGTTGTTTATAGGGATCAGGGTAGTTACGAAGAGGCTTTTTCTAAATTTAACGAATCACTTAATATTCAATTGGCAGTCTTTGGTAACAATCATCCCGATGTTGCTACTTCATACAGTAATCTAGGAACTCTTTTTAATTACCAGGCAAAGTACAAAAAGGCCATTTCTATGCATAAAAAGTCACTTGAAATCAATTTATCTATCTCTAATCACGATATCTCACAGATTGCAGCCTCTTATAGCGCTCTAGGAAATGATTACTCTAAACTGGCTAATTATCATGAGGCTCTTTCTATGTATAAGAAATCGCAAAAGCTACTGTCAGTTTTTAATCATAATCATCCCAGTGTTGCTAAATTATATCTCGATATGGGAACTGTCTATAGTAATCAGGGTAAGTATGACGAGGCTTTAGCTATGTTTCAAAAGTCCCTTAAATTATCGTTAGCCCTCGACTACAATCATTCCAGTATTGGCAGCTCATATGGCCAGCTAGGAAAAGTTTATCATCAGCAAGGCAAGTATGAAGAGGCTATTACTATGCATAAAAAGTCACTCGAAATTGAATCATCAGTCCTTGATCATAATCACGGCAATACGGATATTGCTGCATCATTTGGAAACTTAGGAAGTGTCTATTTACAGCTAGGCAATTATGAAAAGGCTCTTTCTTTGTATGAAAGGTCACTCAGTATTCACTTATCGGTTTTTGGTTGTAATCACCCCGATGTTGCCAAATCGTATATCAACATAGGAAATGTTTATAAGCTTCAGATCAAGTATGCAAAGGCTATCGATATGTACGAGAAGTCACTCAAAATTCAATCATCAGTCTTTGAAATGGATCATCCCGATCTTGTTCTGTCATATAGCAATCTAGGATCTGTCTATCATAATCAAGGCGAGCAAGATAAAGCTATTTGTATGTACCAGAAATCACTTAAAATTCAGTTGGCAGTTTTAGATCATAATCATCCCGATATCGCCAAATCATATGACTGCATCGGAAATAGCTATAGAATTCAGGGCAAGTATGACGACGCCCTTTCTTCATGCGAAAAATCCTATAGAATTCGGTTGTCAGTTCTTGATCATAGTCATCCCGATCTTGCAACATCATATTACAGCCTCGGAATGGTATATGATGATCAGGGCAAGTATGAGGAAGCTCTTAAAAAGTTTAACAAGTCACTTCAAATTAGGCTATCAATTTTGAAGGAAGATCATCCTGATATTGCAATATTATATTATAGCATAGGAAAGGTGTATGAAAACCAGTGCAAGCATAAGGATGCTCACGCTATGTATGAAAAGTTGTTTCAAAATATGCTATCAGTTTTAGATCAAAATAATTTCGATGTTGCGAAATTATATCACGCTATAGTAAAGATGCATGATGATCCGGGCAAGCATGAGAAAGCTCTTGCTATGTGCAAGAAATGGCGTGTAATTAAATCGCTTGATTTTTCTTAATGTTGTTTAATCATAGCAATATGAGAACCATCTATAGAACTCTCATCATGGCAAGTATGAAGAATCTCGTTCTATGTGTGAGAAGCAACCTAATATTCAAATATATTAGCATTCCTGTCATACTTATATGTTCAAAGTTTAATATAACATTTTGTTTAAGTTTACTATACATTAGCAATATTTTAGGTTTATTCACAATAAGTACGCGTATGGTTCGAATCGGCAGTTGAGCTGGTAAGAGCTAGTAGTCGAGAAAAGATAATATTGTGGATATACAAATTTATAACGACCGTTATAAGATTGATAGCTATCAAATAACAAGTGTGCACAACTGCACATGTACCATATTGTGCTATGCTTTTAGTTTATGGTTAATGAAGTTAGGAATTGCTGTAAGATACGGAAGTAGTCTTAAATATGGATAGAAGTAAAAATTACAGTATTACTACTATATGGACTTTATCGTTTGGGTAATTGTACCACTTTCACATAAATATCTTGAAATTGTTAAATCATATTTGAGAATCAGATACATTTATTGTACACAAGCAAATTATCACAGAAAATCTTTGGATTCGTTCTAGTATTGATAGACATCAAATTTTGTAAAACTTAAATTAAATATATATCAAACGAGAATAAACTTACATATTAACCTAATCCATACGAAGCTACAATTAATGTAGATTTACTTACTGCGCATAAGGTGTTTGGAATTTAATGTTTGATGTTGTCTCCAAGATAATTCCAGAAAAAGGAAGGTTTATTTTATTGTAAGAAAGTTATCCACTGATGGTCACAGGATGAATGTAAATTTTTTGACAGAATTTTATCAAAAAATTCGATGTTATTTACGCTATTCAAGCAGATATTGAAAATATTATCAAGATTAAATCTTTAGTAATAAAATCATGTACCGAGTAGATCCCGTTCTGCAACGCTTGAAAACGTATATAATAATCAATAAAAATTTTTACAACTTATTAATGCGATGCGAGGATTGAAATTTGTGACACTTACGAGTATAACTTGAATGCAGTCCTGATGCAAGTCTCTAATTGAACTAAATGTTCTTTAGTTCGATCTAACTATCATTCCGTAAGATGCTACGAAACGATTTGATCTGATTATATTAATTATAAACCCATCTAAACTACAAGTTCAATTAAATGACTCTAGAAAATTATACAGTATATAGAGAGCGAATTTAAAATCGGTAGCTTTCAGTTTAATTTCTATATTGGTAATGTATAACTTATCTGGCTGCAAGAATAATTACTAAAAGTACTCGTAGAATCATAAATAATGACCTCTATCCGTTTTAATGTTTTCATTGTAGACAGAAATTCTTAATTGCAAAGCCAGGGATGATTTATCACTGATTTAATGTCTTTTGTAGAGTATGGGACTGATCAAAATTTAGATGTAACGGCAATAATAGAATAAAATGGATCAGATAGACCTGAAAGTAAGGATAAAGTCGGCCTACTAACTCACAGGATGGTAAAAATACAACATTGGGAAATTTCTTTTTCGATCATTAAATTGGCATAAACCCATTTAAAATTTTGTATTGAATTTATTTATCAATTCATTGATTAAATTATAATCAAAATTGCTTACTAATTGAATACGTAGGCGTTTAATTAATTATAACCTATGATCTATTGTACCTGATAACTTCAGACATAAACGGACATAATCCTTGCCTACTGTCATTATTATATAAAGACAATCTAAATCATTATTTTCTGCAAATAGAATGTAGTATTTTTGATACAGGAAAGTAATATTAATTCCTTTTAGAAGAAATGTTGATTTATAATCATTTTTACATGTAATCTTCCACAAGGGAACAAATCAGAAACTACTGTATGCAAGGCTATTTATTATTTAGTAGCTTCAGTCTTAATCACTGAATAATTGTAATTGATTAATGAAGGGTAGAAAACTTCCAAGAAAAGTATCATTTACGACTATAACTATCTAATTTCAGATTACTTGACAATTATGCAATCTAACAAAAATAGGTAAAATATAAAAACAAAACGTAGCGATTGCAATTAATTTAATCGCTGGCAGCTTAATAGTTAAATATAAGTTAGATATCGCCAAGTATTAAAATTTAATTCTTAATTAATAACTAAACCAACAGTAATTTTAAGAAACGGTGTAATTCGGTTGCAATAGTATAAAAGAGAAGAGAGTACAATCAAGAATGGAGTACATAAAATTTTTAAAACTTCATTTCAGCAATGGCGTCATTAGTTTGTTGATTTACTTGATATCACATAATAGTGCAACACCACGTAATATCCAGTGCTCGGGAACTTGATTAGTTTTCAAATCGACCGATGCAATATAAGTTAAATCAGTTCGTTTTGGCTTTTTATAAATTGGGCATTCATAAATACGATTATCTCGTTGAACTGCTGTATTACTAGCATAGATATGGATGACAGGCAAAGGTGTATATAAAACTTTAGCTGGTGGCTCTACTAATTTACAACCGCGACGATCCCAACCAGATCCTTCTAAGTACAAGCCATAGACATAGACACCTTCCGATGGAGCAGAATTCACATCGTCCTTATAATGTTTGGTAACATCGTTTTGTAGTGTAACATTATCTAATGCCCATCCCTTGTGTGCACGAGTAACTTCTTGCCTCATAGCAGTTAGGAAACCTTGGGGATTAAAAAATCCAGTCATCCAAAATGCATTAGGACGACCATCAAAGCACCATGTATGAAATTGTTGATTGCGCTCTAATAATTCGGTAAACCAAAATCCTAATGTTGATGATTCCCAGGAGATTTTCTTCCATAATGTGGGAACTCGTGCATCATACATATTATCCAAAGCATTTCGTAAATTTTCACTCATTATAATGGTACCATCGATGGCTAATTTTAAATCGTTTAAGGTTTGGCGAACGATAGCAATAACACGCTGCATACGATCAATTTCTTGGCGTAAGAAAATATTCATGGGTGATAATGGGCCCATAATTTGAATTCGTTCTTTAACTTCATGAGGTATATAGTCTTTAGGCAATTTCTCTAGCATATCATCAGCTAAACGATAAACAACACTTTCTCGTGTTTCACCTCCTCCAGTTGCACTATCTTTAGGCTGAATACTTAAAATTGTACTTAAAACACCTTGTGCCATGTTACTCTGATAGGTTATATCAGCATTAGGATGCAACCCAAATACTTCTGGTGTATCGACTAATGGAATAGTATCGATAAATTCCATATATTGCGATATGGTATTACTTTTAGGGATAGCATAACCTTTATAGAAAGTAAATGACGAGCTAAACATGGTATCATTAAACCATACTTTGCCAAAAGTATTCAATAAGCGCTTATCGTAGTCATCTGTTACACGTCCACCATAATGAACTTCGCCAATCATATAACGGATGGTATTCCATGAAACACCTTTCTTAATATCCATGTCATCTAGATGATTTTGTACAAATTGGATGGTTGATGTGAAATCAGCCTGATTGAATTCATAAGGTATATTCCAGCCTAATGGGCCAAACTTTCTCCTCTCTTGGACAGTAGTGTGCAGGAATGCAATACCATACAGCATTGGTTTCCATTGCGGCATGCTATTAATGTCTAATTGATCTTGACTAATTCCAGCATAAGTACGCTTAATGCCAGCTTTAACACCTTGGGGTGGCTCATTAGTAAATCGGATTGATATTTGCAACAGACCAATTGGAAAACTTGGATGAACTTCAGTAGTCATCCATAATCGGAAAGAATCATGTAAAGATTCGGTATCAATCATTATAGTTAATAATTCTTCCATAAAATTGAGTCCTAAATGACAATTTTGCAGTAATACCCATCCACCTGATGCAATACTTTGTTGTAGTAGTCGTCGTGCATGAATTTCTTGCCCTTGTCCCATCGATATTGCTCGACAATCTAACTTATTACGCTTAGCTAATGCTTCAATTTGTGGTGTAGGATCAGAACCAGTGGATAATAAGCATACAAGAGGTATACGAGCATCGCTTTCTTCCCACATTTGCTCTAGATCTAAGATGACCCCTTCGGCATAACGTTCACCAAGTGAGCTAGCAATATATTTACGTGCTTGAGCAATAGTACGATCTAAACACCAAGATCTTATCAACAATAATTTCCTAAACGTATCAAGAGAGTTTTGATAGCCATCAGGCATTTGTGCTTCTTCAGGTGCATCGCTATCGAACCATATTTTCCATGCTTTCTCATTACGACTAATTTGATTTAAAATATCTGCAAATTGAGGTAGCTTACTCAATTCAACTAAATTCAACCATGTCATATCTAAGATCCATTTAGATGGTTTAGGAGGGCAAGCTTTCAAATCTAATGCAGCACCACCTTTAATTAAAGTGTGAAATTCTTCACGTTTGATCTTGTTGTTTTGTAAATCGATTTTTAACGCCAAAAGTAGTGTAAATAAGAATTTATGACTTTCATATAAGCCACGACATGAATACTTGAATACAGCATAGGTAAGATATTCAATAATATTGCCAATACGTTTACTTGTAATAGGCGATTTAGCTGATTGGGTAATTGAAATATCAAAAATGCCAAGAAATTGACGTAGCGATGTTTGATACATACAATTAACCATTGACATTTCAACAATAAGGAAATATAAGATGCTACCACGCGTTGCAACTGGTCGAAATTCTTCACGTGCAGCATTAATTTTAACTTCTGTTTCAGCTGCAATGGCTAATTTTTGGCTTACATCTTCAGCTGTGCGTTTTGTATTGCCTAAGACAATAATAAGTGATTCATCGTCGACTAATGAGCCTTGGATACTAGTTAGACGATATAATAAATTATCCTCTAACTCTTTCATTTTACGCTTATTAGCGGTGACTTCCTCCATTAATTTACTCCTTTCAGCTTCTAACTCTTCCTTTTCTGTTAATATAACGCGCCCTAAGAGTTGGTCTTCTAGACCTTTCATGGTAACTGTAAAGTCAATCATTGATGTTCTTGCACTTATTTCCGGTGTATAAGATGGATTAGCTAACTTGGTGGTAATATACAACTTAAATCCAGGCAAGACATCGACTTCTTTATCGCCTACTTTCACTTTAGGAGTACTGCCAGTACGGATGAAATTTTTCTCCAAGATATTATCTAATGCTGGATCTAATTCTTCGCCAACATTCTCAATCAGTAATGGCCTACCTAGTGATAATGAATCTTCTAGATGTGATCTAAAGTATTTATGATTGAGGAATGTAATCATTAAGTCACTATTTGCTTCGCGATTTTTAACCCATATCTTGCCTTGACCTTGTGGATCAATCAGTAACGGATAGCGTGTTGCTTTCGTTACTATAATACCATTTTGAATCGAGAGATCATCATTTGGTAAACCTTGTATTAACCATTCACTAACTTCGGTATTATCTACAAGCATTCCTGATATATTTAGGTTAAGAGTAAATGGAATCTTCTTAATTCTCATTTCGCGCTGCCAATTACGCGATAAGATACTTCTAAATTCTTGATTGAATGGACCCGCATAGGAGAGAAACGCTGTGCATAATAAGACGTCTCCAACTAAACGACCAATTTCAGATTCAAATTCTTTACTTTGTTGTGTCCAACGTTGGCGTTCACCAGCTAAACCTTCAATTAATGCTGTAGCAGCTTGCATTTTACGACGACAAGTCTCAGCATCGTTAATTAAATCTTGCTTTTCTTTGACTGCTGCTTCGTATAGCGCTTGAACTTCATCTAATTCACGTTGTTTTTCGTCGAGATCAGATTGGGCTTTTTGTAGATCTTGCATAGCTGAATCATAGCGAGCTTGTTGGATAATTAAATTAGCTTTCAATGGTAGAACCTCCTTATTAATGCCAAAAAAGTATGCCATAGCTTTTGTCCACGAACATAAGCCAGCAACATCGCCACAGACACGTTTAGCATTATCGTTATTATAATCATCCTGAGTAATGTATGGCTCTAATAATTCAACGGTTTCTTCGTTAATACTATCTTTAGGAAAATTTTGTAATCCGCTTAAAAAGCTGCTGCCACCCATTAATTTCAAGGATTCAGCCCATGATGGTTTGGTAAATTGTGGTCGGTCCAGATCAACATGAACTTTATCCATGGAACGCATAAATAAGAGCAAAACACAATCCATAATACGCATAATTAAATGAGGCGGTTTCTGTAATTTTCGAACTGTTGCAATATGGCTTGGCTTGATAGTTTGCAATGCTGCTTCTGCTTCTTCCAATGCCGGTCTTGCAGCCTCTAATTTAGCTTCAGCTATATTTTTATCCTTTTCAATGGTATCGACAATAGCTTGAGCTTTGTCTTTTACTTTTTGCACTTGAGTTTTAACTTTTTCAGCCGCGTGAGCACTGGCTGTTACTTCCTTTAATACATCATCGGCTTTCTCGGATGCAATAGCTAATTCTTTCTCTTTAATTGCCAACTCTTTGGATAAAGAATGGACTGATTCACTGGCTTCAAGTAATTTATCCAGACCAACATTCATACGTTTAGCTAATTCCCCAATATCTTTGCGTTTATCATAATAAACAATCTTGTAACTGTTAATAAATGATAGGTAAGATTTTGGAGTAACGTGCGTTGCACGTCGATAACGTTGGAAATAATCAGTACAACTTTCAGCTACGCCATCATGAAAGACACCCATGGCTTGAACAACTTGACGCTTAACTTCCGATGTGCATGATATATCGAATGACGATAAATAATGATCAGCAACAGCAATTAAAGCATCTTTTGGCCAACGACTAAACCAATCCATGGTACAGCCACTAATAAGGCCAGGGAATTTTAATGTTCTGGTGCGGAATTTATCACCAACAGGTGAAAAGCATAAGACAACATGTAAATTATGCTTAGCGCGTGTTAAGAAGTAATCATATAGATTTTCTGGTGTAGGAGGACGTCGTGGATATTCTTTCTTCATAACTGGTATAAGATCAGTACATATTTCATCTAATTCATCACGTGCAAATAAATTGGATAATTCACCCGATGATAGGACATTATTGAGATATTCCAGGAAACTTTCGTCTTTAATGTCTTGATCTGTGAAGATAAATGTCGTACCATGTCCTTGGAAGCCAGCAATACGATACAAGACTTTTAAATCGTCGAGGAAATTGTTGGCATTATAGGAGCGTGTTAAAGTAATTTGGAATGTTTTATATCCGGCAATAAATGAAGCTAAACGTGTTAGACTTTGCTTGCCAGAGCCACCAACACCGACAATAAGTACATTGCCTCGTGCTGTACGGATAACTCGTGATATTCTCATTAAATGGATCATTGCATCTCGGAAAAATACAAGATCCAATCCAGAGCCACGTATCGTTTCATTATATTGAACCATAAACATTCTTAAACGTTCTTCTAGGATTTCAAATGATGGAATTGGTTCATAGATTTTTGGTGCATCTAAATCAGCATCGTCTGGCTCGTCACCAAGGACTTCAGGGGCATCACGCAAGAAATCGACAAAATAAGGCTCAATGCTAATATCCATATCGAGATCTTCTTCAGCTACACGAATGAGTGTTCTATTAAACCAATCTTGATCTTGTGTATTAATAAATCGATCTGAGATAACTCTCTGGCATTCATGCCTCCATAATTGCAATAGTATGCCTTGGCTATTGACAACAGATGCAATACTGTTGAGCATTCCTTGCCAAATACGCGATAAATCACGTAAATTAAAGATATAATGAAATTTAGCTGGTGTAGGCAACATTTTCACTTTAGTTAATTGCCATAAGCGTCGAGTTACTGTTACTAATTTAGCAGCTAAATCGATAATTTCAGGCTTAAATCCGCGTTCAATGCAAAAATGACCAGTACCGATAACACCGAATATTTTATCGATGGATTGATTGGATGGTAAGGTACTATTAAAAATGCAAAAATGCCGCTTAAGACGGCTAGGGATATCATTACGACCGCCACCAGGATGAATCATAGCAGCAATAAATTGTAAATCGACAATATTTGTAAAATCTCCCGCTTTTTCAAGGCTATAAAAGCCATTAAATTCGATCAGTTGGCGTACAATTTCATTGGTAATTTGATCACCCCATTCATTAATGACAGGCATATTAATATCATCGATAAAAACAGTCATTTTTTTTCCAGCAGGTGGACCAAATGTACTGCCCATACGCTTATCAACATAACTTTCAATGGTACGTTGGAATAGTAATGGTGTTGTTGCTGAAGAAAAATTGAAACTTTTGCTTAAATGCTTTTCTGGATCATATCGTGACATATAACTTTTCACCATAACGGTCTTTGCAGTACCTTGTTCGCCGATTAATAATACTGCTATATTTTGTTTTGCAATCGTTTGTATTAAGAAATCGGTCCTAACATTGTCAATGTTGGGAACTAAGATGGATAAATAATCTGGTGTGCGATCTTTTGGATAATGATATTCTTCAACGCGTGTCGACCAATGTTGCCATTGACCTTGGCTGTCCACCATATATTCAAATATTGTTTCATGGTTATCCTCATCAGCTGGGGGTAAACTTAATTTACCTTGCTCTTTCATGAAGGTTTCCAATTTAGCACGATGATCTAATTCAAGTAAGGCACCTAAACTCCACATAATGGCAAAGGTATATAGATGCTCTAATTGTAACGGTGATACATTACCGACATCATCTTTGTCTGGTATTAATCCATCGAGTAATCGTATGGCTTGAAAGATGTAATTGCATTCTAAGACATTCATCTTAGCTTCTAAATTTTGATTGACAAATTGATATATTTCAGCAAATGTATGGGAGAATAGACTGCGTAATGTTTCAGCTTCCTGTGGTGTTCGACTTTTAAGCCAACCTTCTAAAATAGGATTCCAATCAAGACCCGATGAACTCATGTAGACCATACCATTGCGCGATACTGTCGCTGGAGAAGCATTGTCGATATTGTGAGGCTCAAAGATAATTTTACAGTTTGGCGACATTGGTATGCGATCACCATTAGCTAATGTTAAAGTTTTGTTATCATCTAAGACACTATTTAAATTTTCAATCCATATAGCATCAACAGGCCCATCTAATACCAGCCAGATATGTTCACCTTTGCGGGTACGCAATGTTTTCCTCCATAATGTTGAAAAGATACCGTCAGTCCAATCATTGGTTGCAACATCTAAACGTCCAAACATTTGCGATGCTGTAATAGCTTTAGGATTCATTCTCATTTCACGATGTGGTTGGCCACATTCAGTCATTGCTTTCATTAACGTATGAATACAGCAGGTTTTACCAGCACCACTAGGACCTAATGCCATCATACCATGGCGTACTTTTTGAGTTTCGAAAAGCTGAATTAATTTCAATTTCCATGATGGATGACTTATTAAGCCAGATAATTCAACTTGGTTATCAATAGCTGATTCTAATTCTGGATAACCAGCTTTATCCAGATTAATACCTGGGAATAAATCGTTAATCAAGCTTAAAAACAGTGGCTCATCTTCATCGACTAATTTGGATAAATTCATATCACGTAAAACACGCATCACAGTTGTGCTTTCGCCATCATGTGGATTAGATCGTTTAGCAGCGCCAAGTGTACGCAATACTGACAGAATATTTCGTAGGCCAAAATCGTAATGGACTTGCTTGGTTAACTGTTCTTCGCATAATTTATATAAGGTATAAAATTTTCGCGCTAAATTAACATTATCCAAGAAGCCACAACTAGCTAATTTAACACGGATGATAATTTGGCGATCAGGTACCATCATAGCCACTGTTCTAAAGTTGATTTTTAAATTTTCAGGTAGCTCTTGACGCCCAGCATAGCCTGGATTCATGGTTAAGAAAATACCAAATTCTGGACTTAAATCAACATTATCACCATCGGTAAAGATGAAATGTTTCCTTCTCTCTTTTTTGCTTGTTAATACCACTGATATTTGCTGAGCTGCAACGGATAAAACAGGTAAATCGATACGATTGAATTCATCGAAACAGCCCCAACTACCGGATTGGGCTAAACCTTTAAATATACGACCTAGACCACGATAATCCATTTGATCGGAGCAGTTGAATACGACGACATATTTTCCTAATGCTTTACCCATATCTTTGGTTGTTTCAGTTTTACCAGTACCTGCAGGGCCAGCTGGTGCACCACCTAATGACATTCCTAAAGCTTGTGATAATGTAATATAGCAACGATCTGTTAAAGGTGTAATAACCAATCGCTCTGTACAACCGAGATATTCATTTTGATATTGAAAATCAACATCAGTAATAGAGATGATGCATTTATCGAGATCCTCATTGAAATAAAATCGAGACTGCTTGAGCCATTCAAAATCAGAAGGTGAACGAATATGCTGGCGTACTAAATCGTCAAAGATATCACGCTGATGGACATGGATAGTAATTAATGTCTCATACTTGGTACGTTCCATTTTGCTCATGTCTTTTGTGGTCATATCGATTAATACGTTTAGAATACTTATGAAATTTTGATTGGTTTCTCCCATAATTCTACGATCTTGTTTGGCATTTCTTAGCGCATCTTGAGCGTCTCTCGTCCAGATCATTTGTAATCCAAGTAAACCAATCTGTTAAATTGGTAAAATAAAATTCGATCAGATATCGTACCACTTAAAAACGGTAAATTTTCATGTTAACCAGTTACGGAATCCACTATTATCAATATCGTATATTTCGAATCACATTCATTAAATTGATGACCACTATTTAAATCATAACTTCATTATTACACTTTAATTATTACGAAGTACTTCACCTGAGCTGGAAAGATATTTAAAAATTCAATCAAGTTGAAGTTTTGATCATTAATGGCTACATGAGCTTGACGAATGATACCATGAACTGAACGATGGACTGTATTTAGTAAATTGGTCAACCATAATTCAACACTTCCTTGAGCAACAACACTTTTATCGAGCTCGATCGATTCCCCTTCGCGAGATGATACCGATAGAATGCGATCGTAATCTTTCTCGTGAAATTGAACACTCTTAACATTATCAAAGATTCCTAGGAGGTGAGCTTGTATAGTATGGGAATCACTTGCTTGACCAAGAATTTCTAATAATGCCGGATCGGATACGAAGAAAAAGCGAGGAAAGACCAATCTTTTCTTTTCAAGGTACCTGTAATTATGATAATTCCAAAAATTAAGGCCTGAAATATTGAGTGATATTTGTGGCTTTTGATACCTTATTAACGTGTGATTAAATCAAGTAAATAATCTTTCATTTTTACGGCCTTATTAATATAGCTATTAGGCTTTAATCCTACTATATCAATCTCAGTCTTATTATCATTTATCATTAAATTAGTATCAGTAGTAAATACCCGCTCAAGGATTTTTGACATAATTCTAGTTGCTCTTGTAAATGAGGCAACAATTGACCAAGGGTCTCGTCACCAACACAACAAACAACAACATTGACATTTTCGTGAGCTCGAGTCATAATTTTAACCCATGATTTATCGATATTTTGAAATCGCTTTGCCTCCTATATTGTCATCAAGTATATGAAAGAATATTATCATATTAATTACCTTATATAAAGTAAAAATCATATACGATTTTACTCTTCATAATAAGTGCCGGTAGTGCATGGAAATCATTAGACGTACCAGAAAGGTAGCTTAAAAGTTAAATACTATCATTACTATAGCTGACCTTGGGTAGCTGCTTAGCAATATCACCACCAACAAATACTGCTTCTAAATAGATCCACAAATTTTGTACTTGCAACCAATCTTCGATAATATCAGTTGTATTTGATAATTTTTGTACCCATGACTGAATATCTTTCTTAAACGGTGCATTATAGCTATAGAACATATATATTTCATTTAGTTATTTTCCTTTTACCGCTAATTAAAGTTAACAATATTTTGCTCACCGGTTACTCATAAGGGAGCCTAGGATCATTAAGCTATCTTCCATGAGGGAAACAATTTCTGATGTATGATCACCACGAAGTAATAGCTCACCACGACTTTTAAAGGTAGAGAACTTCAGCTCTTGAGTACTCCATTCGTTAACGATAAGTTTTAATTTAGCTTCTATATCTTTCTCTTTTGTAGCCGAAATACAAATATCCTGTTAAAGATCAAATCAAATCATTAAAATTTGCACTATTTGATTATGAGTCCTAGATCGTAATAATTAATATTCTTTATTTTACGGATGAACTTCAAATAATTTTCAAATTATTTGATTGAAAAATACAAATACGCGACTTTATTTTAATTCTCTACCTCAATGTCTTCCTTATGTTCCAGCAATGGTGCTTCCATAATGTTCCGTAATAAGAATGTGTCTGAATCGACATCGAAGACATGATTAGTTAATTGTGCAATTCTATCCCAATGACGCCTTTTCATGGCTCTATTGGTCATTAATTCAAGTAATGGACAGCTTTCATTAAAATCATCAATTTTCTTCCTTAAATCATTGTATGCTGGCCAATCCTTTAAGGCTCTGGGCAATCGTCGGCATCTAATATTATTATCAAACGATATTATTAAACCAAAACTTATAAAGTTTTCAATCAGGTTTAATGAAACTTTCTCATTTAAGCATCGATATTTATCTTTGCCGCTAATTTAAATTTATTACTAACCTATTTTGAAATTCTTGTAATTCAATATTGATTTTTTCTATGTTAACATCGGCCCATGGTATATCATAATAGCCATTAATGGTGTCAATAACATCATTATATAGGCTATATAATTTCTGTAAAAGATAAAGTTCTTTCTTGATTTGTAATAAGTCTGGATACTCGGTAACTGGTAATCCAAATAATTCTTCGCCACCGCTGTATGTCACAAATTTGCGCCATAATGTATCGAAACGATTCTATCAGGAAAAGTAAAATTAGAGGATACCGTAGCTTTTATTTTTTTCGAAGGACTTCGCTGATAGCTTAGATGTCTATATATCACGTAAAATGTTAAAAATAACTCACTTGGAAGATAATTAATCGATCACTAGCTTCACCTGGTGGTATACCGACAACCATAGGACCGGTCTAAATAGTAAATGAAGTCGTTACACGATCAATAAACGACAATCATTATATCTGTAAGCAGTTTTGAAAAATCTACCGACTAGAGTTGTAGCAATAAGTTCATTGCCTGACTTACAAGTCTAAATTCATCAACAAATTTGTTTGTATCTAAAGCGTAAACTTCAACATTAGTTAATAATCTGGCTTTAAACTCAGGTTGAATAACAATTAATTGAGTCTGAATCTCCGCCGCCAGTGTTAATAATCTTTCCCATGAATACCGCAAGGTATCAACTCTTTCTGCTTCATCTTTTTCAACTAACAATTGATATTTATGCAACATAGCGTATGATTCCTATAAATAATAAGAAAAAAAGTTATTGATGTTTTCAAATTTTGGCCTGCCTTTATTTACTTGATAGGCATCCAAGTCTAAGTTACTAGAACATATGCATAAGTAAATATTCAAAAATTGACTCCATAATCTTTGACTACCGGTACTTTGATATATACGGGTTTTAGTGTTGATAGTAGTTAAGGTAATTAAGTATGCTCGTATGTCTACATTAATGAAATAAAAAAGTACAAAAACGTTAAAATCTTACCTCAATTGGTGGAATCGACATATCGATTCTAATTTCTGAATTTCGAATCTCTTTTAATGCAGCCATAGCATTACGTACATCTTCTAAATCTTTTATTGGGCGACTTAGTCGCTTAGTTAAATCATCGATGAACATAAATATATCTTCCATTTCAGTACGATATTTTAAGTTGGCACGACGACCTAGTAACATTTTCCATGCTTTGGTTTCTGAAGTTAATGATAGCTTTAACGTATCTAAAATGAATGATAATAAAAGGAAAAGTTATATATTTTTATTTTTGTTTATAATTTCAAGCGTACAATAATTCTATCATCTAGAAGTGTATTTGCTTATCATTAAATCTTTTAACGGTAGGGTAAAGAGTAAATACAGTCTAAATACACCGGCACGTATATCGACTATTATATTACCAGTAACAAGAGCAATTGCGCCAACATTATATGATTCAGGCAAACCAACGATTTCCTTTTCCATTCGTTGATAGTATAATATCTCAGCTTCAAATTCAGTTAAATTAGGATTGCCTTCAATGAATTCTTTAATGGCTTCTTCACGATCTTTTTGCCACAATGTTTCATAGCAGTAAAATGCTTCTAAAGCAGTAGTAATATCTTTCTTGGTGGACATAATTGCAGTCGACAGCATGGATACTTGCTTAGCGATATCTTTATTTTCAGCAATATTTTTATAGTAATTCTTTTTCGGCTCGATTGTACTACCTAATGTCATAGTATCGCCGGCTCCTTCACCTTGATTATTTTTACTACCACGGCTACGAATTGCCGATATATCAGTGCGACTATCATCACTAGCAGCATTGCTAACCGAGCGACTTCTCATAGCTTGTGATTCGTATATACCACTTTTATCGTGATCTCGATCGATTAATATCCGCCGTCTTTCCTGTCCCCACTGGGAAACATTGCGAGATACAGACAAGACATGGTGGCATGCACGATTAACTGCTTGTTGTACTTCTTCTAGTGTTGGTTGCATAACAACATTAGGAATAGATAGCACAGCTTTGACCCGGAAACATGGCACTTTCTCATTTCTTCTGACTTCATATGAGGTTGCACTTAATGATCTCTTAACATCTCCACGATCAATATAGCTACGTGTACTAATGGTAACTCTTCGCTTAATGGCATCTAAGATAGAGCGTGTAACTTGTAATAAAGCATTTAAATTACTTTGATTAAAATGAGAGATTAACTCTTGTGCAGCCATTTTTAAATTGTCACGCATTTCCTTGCGACGCTGTATAGCTCGACCAGCTGCCGTTATAGGTGAACCAATTTTACTATTAGAGCGCAAACTTGGTGTATCTGGAGCTTCTATATCACTATCTTGTGCAGCAGTATCTGGTTTATCACTAAAACTGGATTCTGCTCTCTCTAATTCCAATTCTTTGACCTCATCATCTTCATCGGGTACCCACAACATATCGACCAATTCATTAGCAGCTTCTTCTACTTGTGCACTTTTAGCTTCTAACAGAGCAGCACCTCGATTGCATAATGCCTGAGAGTATTGAAATCAAAATTAGTTTTCATTTCTCCTTATATAATGTTGAAATAATTGCTACGATTTTTGCGAGTTCATCAACGACAATAATTGATTTCAATTTTCAAGCCAATACTGAAATAACTTGACAGTATGACTAGTAACGGACATATTGCTAAAATGCAAAATGGCCAAGTCAAAGCATATAAACCTACTTGCGTTTTTTCAACAAACTCTGCGATTGACCATGGCTCATCTTCGGGCAATTCACATAATTGGACATTACTCATATCGGTAAGTAGCGCTTGAATACGGCATTTGACCAAGTCGTTTGCACGATCAATTAATAATTCTAACTCTTGAAGTTTTTCTTGCACTTGCTTAACATAAGACATTAAATTCATCGACGTCCATGTTAGCATGGATAGTCCTGGCTCAAGTGCAGCATCAATCGTAGCCAAGTGAGGCATTAACAATGTTTCGAAGTTAGATGGAATTTTCGATCTTACTCGCTTATTCTCAGAAAGGAGGAGCTGAAATGAAGATAATATTTAGAGGATAAGAAATTTTAAACAGTTCTTAGAGCTGTAGCAATAACAAGTTTGATTATCCATCCGAAATGAAATTCTGCATAGTAAAATTGTAATCAACTAGTAGTAAATCTATTCTCAAACTTCAAATAAATACTTAGAGCCTAACCTCTAAGATATGATAGCTTTCTTTTAATGATGCTTGGCGTTCCTTAAGAGAAGCAGCGACCTCCGGAATTTCTAATTCTAAACGTCCAATGCAATCCGTTTCTCGAATTAACGTTAAAATTTGCGGATCGAAATTAACAAATAATTCTCCAGTATCAGGATGGCGGACTAACAACGATGCATGCAAGCCACTCTTGGCAGCTTCGATCTAGAAGATGTTTAGGAAGCATTTGAATAAACGAGTAGATACTAGCAAATAAAATAATCTTGAAGACTATATGATTTTATCCTATCTACGGTCATACTAATATCTCCTGACTTTAAAATCTATTCAACTAAAGCTATTAGAATTGGGTTAAGCATAGCATAGACACGGGCTGTTAGAATAGGCCGATATCATTTAGAAGTCTGTAATGAACTACTACTAATTTTGCGAGATAGGCGTAGAATTTACTACAAACCATTACCTGCTTATGCCATCCGTGGTAGTAAATCATTTCATATTCTAATAGGACTTTTGCTACCTTATTATAATTTTTAATAATTCTCTTTGCTTCTTGACTTTGCAGAATGCGAGGGAATGTCTTAAACACCGACATTGGATCCTGTATGCGACGATATAACTGCCTTACCCATGCAATTTTACCAGCAATAGGTGGCAAATCACGTCCAACTGGAGGGTCAGCTTTATGTTTTTGATAGAGTTTTTGCGTTGCCTCGACATCACGACCGAAATGGAAGAAAATTTTCTCATATTTTTCTTCAATATCCAGATTTGGCAATCCCAATCTAGTCATTCAATACATAATATCGACACCATTCACTACAATTATTACAGTTAACAGACTACAAAATGATATCAGAAATGCAGCAGCAACCCTATGCTCAAAGCTAATAGGAATTTTATCACTGATGGCCCGAATTCTATTTTTAATAGACTAACGATCTGTATACGCATATATCAAAACAGCGATTTAAGTAAGATACATACGCTTCTAGTTTCTTCATCAAGTATAAAGCTCGTTGTGTGTTATGAATTTTATCAAAGCTTTGATCCATAAACAACTTGATTTGCGATTCTAAATCATGGATTTGTCGTTTAAATTCTTCGAAATCGGAATCATAATCCATTTTACGCTGATCGAGGATATCATAAGGTTTTTTCTTCATCGTGGTTAAAATGACCTGAAATTTTGCTGCCATATTTTCCATTCCTTCAATTTTCGATGTTGATAGACATTGATATTGCTCGATAATATTCATCATTTCAATAATTTTCTTTAAGCGACGTGTAAAAGTATCAAATTTGCCAAAAATGTACATTTCACTAAATTCGAATTGTCTTTCATTCGGTATCTCTTCAAGACGTTGTTTAGCCCTTTGAAAAGAACGCTGGTATTCTTCATTTAATCGGATGCATGCATTTAATTTTTCAATCAAATCTGGACGTTCTTGGTCCCAAATTTTGGCAGAGCCATTATTAGTAATGTAGGCACGACATGCGGTAATCATTTGATTTGTTACCTAGAAGAAAGTTTAACATGATTATGGTTAGTGTTATGGATATAATGATATACGCGTGGCATCCAATAGACTCTGTAAAATTCAATGTCAATAAATAACACATTTAGCTAGTCGAATTTACCTTAACAAATAACGATGTCATCCTTTCTGATGTGTTATAGTAGCGTGAAATACTATGAATCATTCGAATAGCATTGATAAGTCCAGGCACAGCATCCACCATTGCCACCTAGAATAAAACCATATTTATCAAATCATTATGTCAAAGTCGTCGATGGACTATTTGCGCAGAAAGGATCGAACAATTTCATGATTGCTTTACTAGATTATGTCGTGAATTTTAGCAGACAATCTATGTGGGTTAAAAGTAACTAACTATTCAGTGTACGAGGCCTTACCGGATCGCAGCTGTAAAGAGGCTCGCAACTTTTTTCCAGTGTATACAAAAACTTAACGTTATCCTTGGCTTCGTTAGCTGCATCGGTGATACGAGTATCTAAATCACGCCATATCTGCGGAAATATTGGTAAGAAAACGATAAGTACTCTATTAGTTACCCCAATAATCATAAAAATTGAAGTAGAGATGAAGAGTAATGGAGGATTTTCTTTCGATCAGTTCCTTTTAATACTTTATGCAAATAAATTGATCTACCTTTAACAATTTCGATTTTCCAGCATGTAAAACGCCAATCGCTGCCTTACATTCTACACCTTTAATTTGATCCAAGAGAGAATTAAATCGAGCCATTCTTTTCTTCCAGTGCTCTAATTCTACTTTGGGGCCGATATCATCTGCTTCTTTTCTCATTTGCTCACTTTCGGCCAAGACCTATAGCATCATACGAGATGTTTTAAAAATTTTAGAACTATCTGCCATTGATGATTGAAAGCAGAAGGAGTGAATTAGAATAGAAAAAGAAGGATAGAACTCCACATGAATTGGTACTTATTTATAATAGGGCTTTTCCTTAACTACCAACCTGTTCAATTTGTTTAATCCATACTTGAACATGTATTTCAACAGATTCTAACGTGTCTGATGAATTTGCTGCTGAAACATAATCTGTTGGCTGAGTCATACCAGATAAATCGACAGTTTCACATTCTTTGAGAACCACTGTGTCCTTTAAGCTAGACTCAGCACCAGCTAAAATATTAACGAAAGAATCTAAACTGACGAGAAATTCTACACGTCGTTGCCTGGAAGATAAATCTCCCCATTCACATTGATTGGTTAGAGCTGGAATGTAAAGATCCGATAATAATTTTTCGATGGCTTTTAATAGTCCTCCTTCACGGCAATCAATGGATCCAAAAACGACATCCTAAAGGTGAAAAGGGTAAGGCAACAACATGATTATCACATGGAACAAAATCTATTTTATCATTCTTCATGCCAAGTTACAGGTAATCGTAAGCCAATTTTCGTTTGCTACTTAAATTATCGCCTAGAAGAATATGCTGAATCGACTTACTTTGGTAATATTTTCCATATTAATTGGCTTCGTATTGTCAGGACGGAGAAAGAACATGCATATTCCGCTTAATTTATCATCCTTTCCATTGGTTATATACAATTTATATTTCGAAGTTTTGATCTTAGTTGCACCACCAGGTCCCAAGCGAACGTATTCAACAGCTGCAGTTATGAAATTGAAGATGAGTATCTCAACAATAATTTCAATATTATTCAAGTCTAAGATCGATCATTAAATAAGCGATTGATATTACAGTCTGTAAAATGCTCATTAAGATACCCATTTATTGCTACGTTATAGCATTAGCGACCGTAAATATATTGGTAAGTCTATCCTCAATAGATACTGGAAAGTGCGAGCTTCTATCTCTGCTTTATTTTCATTTAGCAATATGAAATTGTGTCATGAAACTACTTCATGTCCTACTGCTGTATTATCGAAATGACAATCCCTCATACACAGCTTACTGTGTTAAAGGTATCAAATGCGTTTATAGCTCTAGCATGTAACGAATCCTATGCCAGATCTATGGGCAATTTTAATGTCAGCAACATTAAATTACGCTATATTGTAACACTATTCCATGGCCTACCATTATCGCCGTAAGGTATAACTAGTTCTTGATAGAAAAATATTAAGTGGGCTGCACCATCAATTTCGAAAAATTTGTCCATTTCAGCAATCTGTAGCGGATAATTTTATAGTTATTTCACAGTAATTTGAATGAGTCTATTTTCCCTTCAATCTATTGCATATTGTAATTGTGTTATCCATTCTTACCTGGCTTCCTTCCAGTACAGAATCCTCAACTTCAGTATAATCAATATTCAGTGCATTAGCTACATTTTGCAATATAAAATCATGCCGCGCATCTAATGATGCTCTCTTTGCTTCCCTCTCTTCTCGTGCTTTTTGCTGTAGGTTAGATTGATATCATCCCAAAGAAAGAGATAAAGAACCGTTATGAATGATATCGATATAAGATGGCACGATAGTATATTTTTACTAGAATTTAGCAAAGATTACAGTCTAGATGATATCCAGTTTCTTTCGAAACTAGATACCTTACGTTAAAAATGTTCGTATGGGTAAAAACCAGTGTAGACCACACAAATTGTAAAGTCTAATACAGTATACTGAAAAAGTAGTCAAATATCGAATTTGGATAATGCTCTACGGCTCAAGTTTGTATTTTAATAATCAACTTCCGACAAGTTAAATTGAAGTATTAGTAGCAATTTTTAATTTTAAAAGTTAACTGTCATCTGCTTTAATGGATAGCTATCAAAATGGTCGATGTCCGTTTATATATATCAAGATGCCTATGTTAATTAATGTTGTTGCGGATATAGTGGACGATATCAATTGATAACGCTGTCTTTCGGCAATTCATGGATAACAATTCGATAGAGACAGAAGTTGTTGCTTAAAGTATAGAGTCCAACATTGACTGTATCCATATATCAAAGAGTAGTGATAACTTATTGCTATATACCGAAATAGCTACGTTTAATTTTACCTGTTTGTCTTTAATGGTTTCACCAGTGACCAAGGTATGTTGCTGCAATCTTGGTCTATTTTTTTCTCTGTCTACCATCGCTTGACCTTTTCTTAAATGTCGATGGCGTTGGCTAGGATTTGTATTCCTGCCAACAATCTTTCTTGATGTATCATCGGTTGGCATATTGACTAACTAGTCTGTTGACACTTCCTAATCAAAGATAGTAATATCAAGACAGTTTGACACTGTAATCATTTAGTTGTCAAGTATTACACCAGATAGCCACAGTAATTTTTCTATAGAATTGATCTTGTAATAATTCAGTTCTCGTCGATAACTGCAAACTCTATAGCAAGGATAAATAGATCAATCTAGATTATTTATGGCTCCTTTCTTTTATATTTTATAAATGTATTATGAGAAAAAATAATTCTGATTACTACTATCAATGCAATATTATGTAAAAAAGAGTCGTTTCCTAACCATCCCATTTAACAGAGAAGAATTTATTTCAATTTATTCAAGTAGGAGTATATGCAAGTGTATTTACGTATATCTAAGGATAAAAGTGCTTCTTAATAATTAGCTTACTACTTGTAAAGTATATGTTTAGAAGAACTCTTTACTTTATCCTAGCTATGTTATGTATCTTAGCACTTTTGTATACTTCAAGGATTGAGTGTGATTCTAAGAGGTTAGGATAATTAAAGCAAAGGTAAACTAGAAAGAAAATCGATTTTTTATAAAATGTTAATCAGTAAAGTAGTTCGATGATATCAAAGTTCCAACGCAATTAAAAATACTACCAATCAAAATTTATCCTTACCGGTATTAAAATTGATTTCTATATTTTTCTAGATTACAAATTAACTGTTGCCTTGAGATGGTTAATTAAAGGAATTAGTAGCTGTTTAATAGAAATACTCTAACTTCAAAGTAAGCGGACAACGGGTGGTTACTAACTTACTGTCGTTATGCTATGTTTATAATTTGCATGACAACAAAACGGTTGGCAAGGCCATCGTTTATTCAATAGAGTCATTAGCTATAAAAATTATGCATTAATAAAATATTCTTTTGATTGCTATGTTGGCACTATAAAGGCTATTCTTGATTAGCCGATGAAAAGTTAACAATTAAAAGAATAGAATCTTAAATGGATAATTGTCTCAGCACAACAAAAATCTCTAATATGGTATCGATAAACAACTGTGTTGCGCTATAATCGTTCTATGAGATAGTAAACTGTCCATTTATTCCTATGGCTAGGATATCGCCTAAGTACAAGTGCAAGGTCATTTTATTGTCAATTATACATAACACAAAGATGACTCCTTCTAGTTGGCCTCATTTAAAAGACACCTTGCACATTACTGTTTTTATTATACTATAAGCTTATAAAGTATCCGTTAATCGGAATTTGTGATTTAATTTCGAAATGAAGGGTTTACAGTTGATTTACGCAATCATGCTGTCTTGTTCAATGCTCATCTATTGGTACTACCAAGGAGTGAGCTAATACAATTCTAAACGATTATTGAAAGTTCACCTCGGGTAGTTTTACCGGACCTCCTACAAATTTTACAATTGAGATTTTACGGCATAAGGATAATTATAAATTTGATATTTTTAAATTACCATAAAGAGAATTCGACAACAATTGTATCAAAGGAGCTTTTATATAAGCTTTAAATATTTCGATATATGGTTCGATGCAATCGTACATAATTTGCGATCTTAATATCATAAATAGAAAGCCAGTATTTACTGTAGATGTTAATAGAAGATTGTGCAGGTAGCCTAACCTTTATAAATTGGCCATTCCAATAATGGCCTCTTTATTCCGGAATCATTTTGTTTAGTATAAATTTGTAAATAAGCTATATGTAGCATTGCAAGCGATTTTAACCTAATTTATATAGATATTACACTTAAATTTGTGCATTAAACCTCTAACTCTGTCTTAACTGAGTAATAGGACTACTTTAATAACAGTGATAGTAACCTCTTTTTCCACCAGAAAAGTACGCAATGGATTACAAGTTATAAAAACCACTATTTTCAGATAAAGACTTCTTGATGCGAAGCAGATATTCAATACCATTAATAATTCAAGAACTACTTACGCTCTTACAGGCTTAGGAAATTAATGATAAAAGTATAAATAGTGCTACCTGTAGTTGCATATTATGGTATTAACATGGAGTAATTGAACTTCTATTGAACCAATCGCGATCAATCATGCAATCACATAATAATACCCTATGGGTGTCTACGTATTCTTTGAAGTGATAAAACGATGCTTAATTTTTCAAGTATAACACTGCATAATTTTTTAGTAATATTAGCACATAATTTTACAGTAAATAGATCATTGGAATACGTTTTACGATTATGAGATAACGATTATGATTGCATATGTGAGGGGAAATCAGGTCGTTAAATTGAAGTATTTAATTCAGTTTTACTCAGTTGACAGAATGATTCCTAGTATTAAGTACGAATATATCTACTTTGTATAAGTAGTAAGAAACAATCTGGCAGTGAATTTCCTTTCAATATCTTGCTTTGTGTAGAATATATACCCGTTCATTTGAACGGGAACTTGACTAGTATATTGAATTAACCACTGCCGGCAATTTATATGAGAAAGTATCTTTCCTTTCGATTCTAGTAGATAAATATGGAGAATACACTATGCGGATAGAGCCGTTTGTAAGGAATATATTAGAGTGCATATCGAATCAATGGAGTAATTAAATTTTTTAAACGGGCTTCGAACAATGACCTATTAATTCTCTTACTTCTGTCATTATTACATAGAATTGTACAAAAATCATAAGCCTAAACCATGGTTAATTTTTAAATAGATTAGAGATGACCTGTTGATAACGAAAATGAAGGACTATAACTGTGAATAATGGCCGTAAATAAACCTATTACTAACCAGTATATTGTATATTAATTAACGTTCAAATGCTGAATAGTATCCGGTTCCTGATAGCAATTCAGCCACATCATGTATGATAAACGTTTAAAAATTAATATGTTTGTTGTGCTATGGAAATTTTAAATTTATACAAAAATGGGTAGTGGTTGCTTACTGAAAATGCTACCTTGTAATCGATTTTTTTACTAGATTTGCTTAAGTGTAATCGCACACATATATACTATATATCTGGAGACATTAACGTCAGCGAGAGCGATAGATTATTGTGTTGCATTTCTTTAATTTGTAGGATAGCTCCGTTAGAAAACGTTAGATAGGACCAGATAATAAGATTACTACATTATTTCACACCGTAAATCGTTGTTAACTGTCGATACTTGTATATCTATCCAATGATATACTCGTTATTACAGTTTTATCACAAGGGGTCGTTATTCTCAACTCTACGTCGCCGATTTCCTGAGTATGTCCCGTACTGAATTCTCGGCATCACGGTAACAAATCTTTAATAAGAATTGTCGGAATCAAGATCCAATTACGTCGATACGAATATAAATGAAAGTCTACTGTATAATTTATTAGTTACAAAGTACAGCTAGGAGTGCAAAATTCATATAAATGTTAAACGATTTTTCAAGAAACTACGTGCTAGGTAAAAATTTCGATATACTCGTAGGTGCAATTCAGTATTCAAAATCGGCAAAAAAATACCACTCGGCAATCTAACACTTTCTTCTGTGATTACACATTAACTGATAAATGGTTCGGCTGAGTAATACCGTTGTTATTTTTTTGGTTTTTTTAGCTATAATTTCCCGATGGTATTGCTAAAAGGATGACTAGCTTACGCCGTATTTATATTAATCAAATTATCACATTTAAGGTTGCTCAGTATTTACAGTATACTCGTATTATAGTATTTCTTAATTCGATGACTATATAAAAGCATCGATATTACGAATTAGCCCAGGTGGTAATGCTGAGATAGTAAATCAAGTCGAAATAGTAATGTACACTTATACCACTGCTATAGTTATCGCTAGCATCGCGATAGTAGTCTCAATTTATACTCGATTCGACTTATTTGATATGGAAAATCTTAATCGCTCCAAAATTGGGAATGAGCTATTGCACCATTACATTTGTCCCAACGTGGAACAAGCTTCTGCTATAGCTATGGATGTTCACGCTTTCAACCCATTCGATAGAATATCAAGGCAAAAGTGCATTGATAGTTTCTCTACAACGTACAATTTGGTTTACTATTCACTATGCTTAGATAATAGCTACAAGCTAATTGTGCTACGAGGTCCTAGTCAATGTGGCAAATCCAAAAGCTTGCAGCAATTCCTATATTATCTGCGACAGAGACATATTTTGGCTATTGATTTTAATTTTGCAAATATCCAGAATGAATTGCATATGGAATCATTTCTTAATATGGCTATACTAGAAGCTATTACTCAAATCAATCTTGATTTCCATATCGGTGATGTAATGAAGTTTGATACGATTCTTAAAAAATTGCCTTACCGTTTAACCAAGTGCAATTACTATAAAATTATGCCGATGGGTATTTTATGGAATCATAATTTATTTTTCACTTGGACATCTTGGAAGAATAAGCAGCAAAACAACCTGAAGCCTTTTATCATGCAGATATTAAATGATCCATGTTCAAACAAAAATTACGTGACAACCTTAATGACAATTTTAGCAGCTTTAGCGGAAGTAGACAGAAAATTACAACCAATTGTTGTATTTCGTGATCTTCATAAATCTATCCTAAACCCAAGGACTAGCTCTTTAATATTTAACCTACTTCAAGAGCTATTTCATTTTATTGACAATCAACGTAATCATCTACTTCTCTTTCCTGTAGTAATGGAAATGTCTGATTACGTATGGTATGATTTTTTTTATGTTCGATCACACCAGTTTAACATACCGAAAGTAAGTTACGATGCTATCGTAATGGAACCTTTATTTGAAGAAGAAATATATCAAAAGATTGTCTATGTATATCAATTGTTGCCTGGTAAAATTTTTAACTTGGTATGGCAAAGAATTGGCCATGATCGCAGTCTATGGAGCCAGTTTTTATACCGATATGACTATCTAAAAATACGAAATATAGGCCCTGACGATTACATAAGAACGATCATTAATCAATTACAATTAGAATCTGACTTGAAGATCTTTCACATCCTTTCTCAAGTAACACGTGAAAATAAATCATTATCGTTAGCATTTTTAAAGACATTACATTCTAACAATTATGTGCTAAATACGCTCGAATGGATAGTCAGACAAGAAGCCAAATACCTTCTTCAGGAACGGTTAGCTTATATCGATAAAGAATTCAATTTTCAAATACAACATAAACTCTACCAAGCATCAATTCAAAAATATTATGAACGTATCGAGCAGAAATGATGTTGCTATTTTGGAAGTTACTATTCGCTTTTTCATGGAAAGTTTTCTGTTTACGATACATTATGTTGTTTTGCAATTAGGCAACATCAAGAATGATTCTTACCATTTACATTGAATTAAATATATAATTTATGTATCTGATGTTATGATAATAATTAACAATAAAATAATTCTGATTTTAATCCTTTCCTTTTAGTGTAAAATCATTATGTTATAGCGGCCACATCTTCACAGGCTCATTCGATATACATTGTCAGTATTACCATGCTGTTGTGTAGTATAAGAAACATTATTCGATCATTTTCATAATAAGCCACCAATCGAAACACAGACATGCAGTTCTTTAACGTTTGACTCTTGCTAACAGCCAGTATGGTGTACAAATTTCGTCTTGAATTAGCTTATTACTCAGATGCATTTACGGACACTACATCATTTATACCAGAACCTCTTCCGATTCCTGAATGGCCGGTTTTTGCTTTTCAGTTTCTGGAGCGGGTGTCATGCTACTAAAGGCTTTTACTTTTTTGTGTACCACTACAAATGAGATTATTATCGCATTAAGATCGCCGATATGACTAATGGTAGTAAGTTTCGCACTTGAAATATGAAAAGCTGTTGCGGACTTGTAACAGCAATGAAATTTAAAATGTACTATAACAATAGTACTCTATAATACTTACTGTAACCCTGTCCCTGTAGGAATAATTGCACTCCAGTTGACACTGCACCAGCCTAATTAAGGCGTGCAAATAAGTTTAAATGATCAAATTGTTACAACTTGCGATATTGCCATACTAATAATACCCTAAATCTTAGGCTTAACAAACCTTTTCGTCTAAAAGTAAGCCGCCACATTCCTCTAACTAAAGAATAAAAAGAATAAATCCTTTACAATGATCAAATGAGTTACCAAATACTTTGATATGACGTAAACTGGCACCTAATGTAATTATTTGTAAATATATCTACGATCCGGTACTATACTGAGTGAAATATATGATAAAAATCATAAAGTACCTTCATAAATGTAGATTGTGTGGGATCAAGCCTTGAATTTAGATCAACCTGCATATAAAATTTTCAATTTATAGGTCTCTATAATTGTAAATGCTAGAAGGTTTACCGTATGACAAATTATACAGCATATACCACTTGATCAATGATCGGAGATTCTGAACCAACCATGAGCAAAACAGGACAACTGAACAAGATGATGTAATGTTAATTATTATAGCAATAATCTTTCGACCGCTCAATGATCCATAGTGCTTGTTACCTCAAAACTGTTGGTGAAGATGCGGGCATAGTCGAACTTGGCTTTGTAATTTGTATAACGGTGCGACTGAAGTAAAACATTAAAACAACAGAATTTCTTAGAACCTTCTCATTATGAATTTATATTGCGGTACAAGATTACAGAAGAAGAGTGCCAGATTCCTGGCCTCACGGTATATGTGATTTATAGCCTCATCTTCTACTTACTTATGGTAAGAGTTCATAAATTTTGCTAGGTTGGTAGGTTTTAATTTCATTAAACACGATCGCAGATGGTTTAATTCGTCGATATTAATTTCCGGAGTCTATAATTAGATCAAAAGTAATACGATAAATATAGTTGAACAGCATGTTTCAAATGTGAGTAACAACTAAAAACTTCCATAGCACCTGTCCAAAATAATACCACTCTAAATGATTCAGCGTATGATTTGTAACTCCGTTTCGGCTAAGATACCATCCAGTCAACTATGGTTATGAGGTGAATAACAGTGAGGATATACCCGGTACAGAAGATCTGAAGCAATGAATATTTTAATCATGAGACTGAAACAAAAGACAAGCAGTAAACCTTTTGTTGTCCCCACTCAGCCCAGGAAGCAGCCATGCTAACTGTATTAACCAGGATTAAACTTGTTACCATTGCCTTATGTTTCAACTATAACATTTTTATAATTTTGTTATATGCGTAGAATCAATATCCTCTTTTACCATGCAACACTATACATAACTTGAATGTTCATGAAAATTTCAAACATTGATTACTTACAGCAAATCTAAGGAGGACATTGCCCCCTACACCTACACCAAATCCTATGAATCTGCGTATACTGAAGTAATTTAAAAGTAATGAAGCATTAAAATCCGGGAAGAAAATATTTTTGAAGACTTAGAGTTCTGCTACTTTGTAATGTAAAACTTGGAATTACGGTTTATTACTTGTAATGCTCGCAAACTGTTAATATATTGTTAGCCAACTGATCCATTGTCGGGTATTGATAGCTAGGTTAAAGGAAAAATGAAGATTTATGAACTTTTTAGGAAATAGAGACAGAATTTTTGAAATTGTAGCCTCTCAGAATAATCTTGAGGTCCATAATATACATACGTATCGGGTAATACTTCAGCATCCTCCTCCTTTACATTGTATGTACAAAAACGATATTAATACTCGTATATTCGCAACTAGCAAAGCTAAATGAATTGTATCATCATTACTCTGAAAAGTTGACTGAAATCATTAATTTACCTGTCCTGGTGCATCCACGTGGTAAATACAAAAATTTTCTAACAATACTTCTGATTCTGGGAATCCAAGATATCCACCAAAACAAGTCTTATCTAAAACAAGTTCGTAGATAATGATAGTCATTCATACAAAATGTTTTTTGGTATATACAGTATTAGGCCATATTTAAACTTACGATTTAATCCAAAGTCATGAAACGTGATCATTGCCGGTTTTCGAAGATTACCCTTTGCGATCAGACAAAATTTAATACTCAATACTAAATGCAGCAAAATTAACTATCGAAATTGGTATGCTTAAGACAGTATGAATCCTAGTAATAACATAAAACGTAGTTTATGTTTTTCACTTCCAATAGATTTATTTACAGTTAGTTACTGGAGGAGTACTGTACATATAATAGCGATATACTGTACTCGTATATATATAGATAAAAAATTAGGGTAATAATATGACAAAGAGTACAAAGCTGTAGCGCTTGATGAAAGTGCTTCAGAAACAGTAAGTTAAATCACTTTCTCTCAAGAATTTATTACTTAGATATTCGGTAAGTCATATCTATTGTAGTATTTATGATTCGATTTAAATGATTGTTATTCTATAAAAGTTTTACCTGTATGTTAACATGAACGAAACCATTTTCTACCAAGATTTTCTTGTAAGGCTATCGTTAAACATACAATAAAAATAATCCATTGTCAATCTTAAATCGTATTACGGTTAGTCATAGCAACGTACACCAGTTTGTAGGATGGTACGAATTACAGTGATTATAAGCTGTAAACGCGTTTTACCCAATGAAAAATATATATTTTTGAAAGATAACACGAATTAGATAATTACAAAGACATCAACATTTAATTTCATGTCTATGAATATTGCTACAGTAAATACATCCTAATATCCTATCATTAATATAAGCATAAATATACTTATATTGTTCGAGGACAAGCCCAGTTGCGAAATGTAAGCTATCATAACACGCTAGTAGCCTCGCTTGATACTAAATGTAGTCATGTGTGTTAGACTAGGCAAATTATATTATCAATGTGTTGCAATTATCTCATTAAGTTAATATTCCTTTACAGAGCAACCTCGTTATTATTAAATTCTATTTAATACCGTAACTTAAGACTTCTGATGCGCTAGTTTACGTTACCGTGATTGTACTGTATGAATTTGTAGTCTAGAGATGTTGTACCTTATTATCAGCAATATATCATGTGGTTAATAAATAATTTACGTATATCAAGAATAAATCGGCTCCAATATGTGGTCTACCAAGTTTAGACTAACATTTCTATCTCAATCTGATGTTGTTACCCTTACAAGAAATGTTACTGTTACTCAATTCTTCAAGATTTTGGACACTAATGCCAATATGAGGTTGCATCGAACTTTGACCCTTCACTGCCTTCAGTGATAAACATCATCATTAACCCTAAGGTAGAGGGCCATTAACTTAAGCAGAAAAATCTCGAACATTGCAGGCTTACTTGCAGACATTATACCAGTGAAATTTACAGTTAATAGATTACAGATAATGCGTTGGTTTGACGGAATCGATCGTGCAGAGAAGGACCTCCACTGAAGAAGTGCTGCAGCTCGTCTTCAAAAAACTCGTAACATAATTATTTTAAGTCTATTGCTGTCACGATTTCTCTTCATTTTAGCAAGAATTCATTTACCTATCATTATTACATTATTCCTATGATCGAAATCATGCAATTATGAAATTGCTCTATAAGCCTTGAGGTTTAATTAATTACTGTATTGAAATTTTGACAGCTTGTATGTTCTGATTCAAGCCATAGGTACATCAACAAGTTTGAAAGACGATGAAGTTTTTACCTGGAATTTTTCCTCATTTTTAGTATCGGTGCTGCCTTCAGTGCTTTGCTGAGTTTTATCGCCATGTATCTTGTTTACTGTCAGTTCGATCTCTTCGAAGGTATTCCCTTTGCTTCCAACATTAGCTGATTCGGCCATTCTTTGCTGCTTTCAAAGCTCATCTGGTTACTGAACTACTGATGAGCTTAAGTCTACCTGACGAGTGGCTATGACCATAGACTACGAGGTAATGAATCCATGCTGTTATGCGCAGCCTCTGTTACGACCATATGATCGTACAGTACTATGCTGTGCTCTTTATTATCAAGTCAGAATCTGCAGTCATACTGTACAGTACTGTATCTCTACAGTATAAGGGCCTCTACTGTAGTTAAGGTAGCAGAAAATGGGACACAGACAGAAAGACATCAGTCCCCTGATGCGAAGACACGAACAGTAATATCGGGTGATTGAAAGCCGAAAGGGATTCGTTTTAATCACTCGCTGGACTTGAAAGTAAAAGCTAATTCAGTCAATTGTAATTTAAATTGTATTTATAGTATTTCTTTACGTTATATTATTGAAACAGTTATGGCAGCTGCCAAAATTACCGTTAAATCAAGGAGTTACGCTAAGATTTTATTACATGCAGCTAAGTATCCCCATTGCAAAGTGGATGGCCTGCTCATCGGTAAATTAACTAACAATGGACGCGATGCCTTGGCTACTGATGCGATACCTTTATTTCATACTAGCCATGGCTTAACTCCTATGCTAGAAATAGCCCTTAGTCAGGTTAGGTATCTACGTAACTATCCTGGATAAAACAGTGTCAACACTTAGAGCACTTAACTTGAAACGGTATCATTTTATACTGTATTCTATAGTCATCACCCTCTTTTCCTGGCCCTTATACTAGTACTTTTATCGTACTTTTATACAGGATTAGTGAACGAAAACTGCACGGTGTATATGCTGCGGTTGTTCAACTTCGATTTTCCTACATTTACAGCATCTGAATACAGTCATGGGCTAAAAATCTTATATTTTAGTAGTGCACGTAATAACTCGAAGTTCATGGTACCATATATTGTACTTTGCTTTGATACGCAACAGTCTTTCATCTCTGCAGGAATGTATCAATATCAACTAGAGCTTAGCAGTACTATCCGCGTATTGATACGCTGAAATAAACTGTAGACTATCTGCCTCTCACCCGTCGTATCTTTTTACCCATTGCAAAATTTGATACGTATTCAGTTGTCACCACCGACTAACTTATCATTTTTACATTTGCCAACTATATCAAACAGCACAGTACAGTGAGTATACTTTTCACATACATTTGGACTAAACTATGGTCCCCCTACTTATGAGCACGGACACCGAGTTGATTGAAAACAGCCATGGCATCGAATTCGTGCTAAGTCTCGCTAGGACGAATCTAATCTTCACTATTACAGTACACACAGCACATAGTAATTATATTATAGGCCATGTTATACATACTTAATTGATATTGCAATACAGAACTTACTCATAACGAACTACTCATATTTAATAAACATAAGGACTTGTGCTCAACATGAGCAGCTTATTCACGCTCTGTTCAATGCTACAATACTACATTAGCTAATCATCTGCGTTAATAAGAATTCAATAATTTTACGTATGATCCATCTCGTAAGGAAGAAAAATGTTAACATCAACTTACATACCGAATCATAATTATGGATATCAATTCTTGAATAATGGCCACATAGTAAAGTGCCAGCTAGTTTCGATTTATGAAGTTTGAAATTATAGTTGCTTAGTACTATCAGTACACTTATACCTATTAAGAATGGAAGGGCGTATTGATCGTGAACTACAAATTGATAATTTCACGTTCAATACAGTGAAAATTGATATTTTCTTTTCAAATGAAAACAGTATACATAATGTGTATCCCGTTTAATATACTATTATATAGGCCGAGGCTTATGCTGAATCTCAGAAATTGTCCATTGTCGGATATTATCAAGCGAATGAACAGCTATCAGAATCACATACGTAAGTGATATAATGATATTTAACCATAGATCTACTTAAGGTAGTAAAATATTATTTAGTACAATGTTTGTATTTCACTTTAGTATCATAAATCTAAAGGTAAAATTTAATCAATTTTTGATACTATATGTATAAAATTACTTTTATTAGCAAAATTTATAACTGCATTATTAATTAATTATTACAAAACTCATATTTCCTTTATCTGATGTACTACAAATCTTCGACAGTTAAAAGCTGTACAAGTGGCACAGTAATTAGATCTAAATAGAAAACACCTAATCTAGTACTATCTATAGTATAAGATTATCAAATTTACTTTCTAATAACTGCAAAAATCGGAAGCTCTGTACCGTATTACGTAGACTACATTATTTTTGCTCTTTACTGGAGATATTTATACTGTAACGTTGCACAGTAATTTAAATCTTTATATAAAAATTGATTTTATTTTCTAAGGCCGGATGCTTTTGCTATAAAAATCGCCGATAGGATATTGAGCTGTTGTAAATATTGTAGTTTGATGATGGTGAGTAGCCCGTATACTAATGCATTAGCCACTATGTTGATTTATATGGATGAAATTAGCAATGTAGCTGTTTCTTTAAAACATTTGATGCGGCGTTATAATTAAGATTAATTTGTTTTAACACATATCGGATATCCTTGATTTATATCTTTATACCCTTTGCATTTAAATTATTAAACCACAGGTAGACAATTGTAAAGTTTCTTTGTCATGTCAAGAAGACGCACTAGTTGTGAGTATCTACAATTATTCAACGATATCTTCATCATGATAATGTGATTGATTGACGCATACTCGATAGTAATGGGTAACCTTTATTTTAAATAATTATTTTATTATAGTGCTACAATAATATAGAAGGGAAATGGAAGAAAGACTCTCAATAGTAAGCATCGCGAGGCTGACTTGACAATCATACATGTTGCAATTTTAACATTTAGGATCAACAATATGTGTAATGTGACTAACATTTAATTTCATATTCAGTTCTTTAGAGCATCCTAATGAAACGTTGCCAGCATTAGCTAAGCTTATGACTGGTAAAGCATACAAGAATTTAAAAGATTTCGATAACCATTTGGATGATATTTCCGTAGATTGGCTGAACATTAGCATAAACAAACAGATTACAGAAGCTATGTAAAACTTTTAGCGATATCTAAGTAAATTTATGATTAATCGCTAATCATTCTATAACGGATAATTTACTTTACAGAAATATTTTAATTTAACGATTTTTATGTACAGTGTAAAGTAAAGATGAAACTATGCACCGCTATCCGGATCATTTCGAAATAGATGACATTGAACCTTATTTGTTGTTATCATGTACGTTTAAGTAGCACCGGAAATGCTCGTTTTACTTAGCCATCTTCATCATAAGAGCAATTCTCGCCTTAGAATCTATTGGTCCTCTAATAAAATACAAAATTTATATTGTCATCTATTACTACTCATATTACGGATAATATTACACCTAGTGCTAGAAGAAAGGATTGGCTATATGATAATGGATTATAGTGTATTGCATACTTTAACGGAACTTTGATGTTTTTTCTAATATGGCTCGTGCTCGAACAAGTAGTACTGTATTTTTGGACCTATTTTTGTTTTACTCTAATATGGATACAGGTTAAAGTCAGTCCTTAACTAACTACAGTACCTTAAATATAGCACGTAAATATTACAGATAGGGTTGATAATCGTTACCGACCATGCTTATTTAATTAGTAAGCAGTGCTTAGAATAGCAAAAAGTAAACCGAGATCATGACTACTTTACCGAGTACGACATGCGATTGAATTAGTATAACTAAATAGGTAGAAAAAATGAATTTGAGAGTATTACAGCGCACGAAATGATGCGCATAAACTTTTACTATGCTAGAATGCTTGGCAAAAGGTTAAATACAATCGATAAACTCTTATGTTAATAATTATGATTAACTGTATATTGGACGAATAATATTTACTATTTGATATTTTAGTTCTCCGTATAGACTGAATAAGTCCACAATAGATCGAAAACTATTGGAATAAGTACAAAATATTGTTGATAATTCGCTCCATCCTAATGTAGTGTGCATGATTGGAAGCTGAACTATGTCTAGTAATTTTTTGCTGTAGCTATTAGAAAGTAGAATTGGAAGAACCAAACCACCGGAAATTTTAACTCAAATTTTTTTCAAAAATCACGATGAAGACAGTTGTGATTGTGAAGTAATCATGGAGTACAAATATTATGCTACCTTTGATTAAAATACTAGTGTAGTAATAGCAGATATGTTATTAATTTTTTGTATTCGATTTTAGAAAGCAGGCTTGTCATCAATAAACCTGCAAATGTTGTACGCGTAGTATTATATAGTAAGAACAAGCATTAATATAATGTAGACTCACGGTTAATCTTAAATGCTCCTTCTAATACAACAGTATTAACTGTATGATGAAGCTGATGACTTAAGTTGTGTGACCATACAGAACTTTGTATATAGCAAAACATTCTGATATCTTTATCATAAGCACTCTACCAAACTGAAATAATTATTGTGGCTTAATTGCTTGTATAACTAATGTACTTGCATCTGCAGTGATTTTGCGTACACTACAGCATCATACTTATCCTCTTCACGAGTCTCTAGATTAATAAACTAGTATCATAGCTACAGTTTAAGACTTTATGAAGGAGTTTGATGCCAATTTTTTTTTTGGGGGGGGGAGAATATAGGTATGTTGGTGTCTTCCACAATCATTTCCTCTGCACCTGATGTATGTTACACAATACGTATTTAATTTCAAGTCATAAGGCTTGCTAGTTTACTTTTCAAAATGTGTGCTCATTCCTTTTATTCGATCACAGCTACCTTACTGCTATATTTTGTTAGCTGCAGCTTTATAGTAGCATATCGCGGTCGATTTTAATTGGTAAATTGTTATTACATTACCAGTTTTATACACTAGTAAATAATTAATTAATGAGCTACGTAAAGAGACTTCTCCCAAGTAGAATTCTCATAATGCGAAAGGCCTAATCTTGGAATTGATCATTAAATAGCTAGATATATGCGATTGGTTAGGAGCAAAGTATTATATAATATTGCACGGAAGTCATCTAAAATTAAATAATTGTTTTTATTATTAGTGTCGTATTATATTAATCGGAAATTCGAAGAAATTCTCGATAGGATACGTATAATAATTTCAATTACCTATACTTTTAGTTGTATAAATGAACTCTACATTTGTAGAAAAAAACGTCAAGTCAAACTTTGTCCTAGTACAATACAGTAAGTTGTATTAGTTTATCATTAAAAGCACACCACCGATCCATCGCTATCGAGCAATGATACCTAAAATCTAAAGTTGCGGTTTTAATAATACATTGTAACTCAACGGATCATGATGATCTGGATAGAAGTGTATAAGCTACCACAGCAACTATTAACACGATAACAATTGTGCTAAAATTCGATCCTCCTTTATTCGTTTCTTGAGCATTTGGTGGGAAAAAGTGAACCTTGTAGTCCATCTCATTCACTTCTGACTGGACAATATCTCCAATATAATAATTCTGCATCATGCTTCGAGCGTCGGTAGAGTGGCCTACGTCTTCGAAAGCTTCTGTAGCTTCTTTGCCAGCCATTTCTAGCAATACTTCCTCTCCACCTGGATGTTCCTCCATAAATTTCGACACGTCATACACCTTGTTATGTATTATCAACCATAGCGCCTGACCATTGTTGTGCTTAGCAACTTCTTCTCTGGTAAATGTCTTTGTCGATTCTTCAGAAGACATTTTTCCTTACTCCTTCAAGGCAATGAAACTGATAAAAAATGGCAACAATCACAAGTGCACGTTTACAATTTCTGAACTAAGACCACAGTCACTTTTCTTTTTACTGTACAGTACAGTACTGTGCTGAGCGGTATTGTACTGTATTGCACAGTACAGTACTGTACTGCAGGTTATAACCTCGGCGGTCAAATAACCCAAGTACAAAAGTACCACCTAAGTCAAATAATAGGTTGTAACAAAGGGTTTTTACCCAAGTCAACAACAAGGAATCACGAATAACCCTTGTTTTTTTCAACAGTGATCATGGTGTTACCGGTATTACGACACGAGTTGTAAAAATGGTTAGACCGACCATGCATGTAACAGCGACTGATAGTTTGTATTAGAAACTTTAAAAAAATATAATTGTGTGATACTGTAATAAAAGTAATAAAAACATCAAGAGCCAATTACTCAAGGCTTTACTGATCTGTCTGCGTAGAATTTGAGCCAGAATTTAAAGACATAATTGAAGGCAACATAGCTGAACATCGTTCAACCAGTTCACAGGGCGTGGCGTGCCCCTGGAATAAAAATGAAATAAAATAATAGTGGTCCAATTACAGTACAGTACATACTGTACAGTACTGTACGCTTGCATCATCATTAAACTACAGTACTGTACTGTAGTAATGACGGTTACTACAGTACTGTACTGTACACTGTACACAGTACAGTACCGTAAATGGAGATGAGGAAAAATTCGAAAACCGGTTCGAACGTACTGGAGTGTAACCAGTACTAAGTATCAGTGTCAGTGTCACGTGTAATACAGCACAACGTGTGCTTATAACTGACTATAACTGAGTACTTTACCGAAATGGCACTACAGATAGAGTACGGCATTTGGACGGACAGACGCTTGACCTCATTTCGTCATCAAATTGTGTCCAACACCTCGTTAAAAATTAGGAGTCAACTTATGACTATAGAAAAATAAAAAACTAGAAGTTTTAAAAGCTTGGCCGACACGATTACTGTACTGTACAGCACTTGTACTTTACAGTAGTATGCAGACAGCCGATTCTGAATTGACTGATTTTTTCTAAATTAAGTAATTGATTGCATCCCATTACCTACTGCTAAACCGCTGCATGGAAGATAGACGGACTTTTCTTACCAAATATAATGAGGTCATCAATATCGAAAAATGATTACTTACTTAGAATGGGTCTTCCATATCTGTTTTCTAAATCACTGGTTCTAATTTAAATAGCGTCTATGATCTTATAGAACTGCTTTTAAGTAGAATTTTGTAACAGATAATAAGATTTAATGAAATATTTCTTAATGAAGAAAACATCAGTCAATTCAAAATCGACCTTTTGCATATTAAACTACTACCAAAACGAGGTATTTGGCAGATACGCGTATTTTGACGCAATGAAGTCGAAAATATCCGTCCGTCTGAAGAGCGATACAAATACTGTAATGAAGAAATGATGATCATGCAATACACTACAGTACAGTGCAATACTGTACAGTACAGTACATTGTACCGCATACAGTACTGTACACTGTACTGTACAGTACACTGTGTACAGTACAGTATACTGTACGTACAGTGTGCTGTAGTACTGTACAGTACAGTATGATATGATGACAGTCATAGGATCAATCTTTGAATAACAGTTTCGGCGGTTTCGTTATACTGTATGACACATTTTTACTGAAAATACATTTTGCAAAACTACAGTTAGTTTTCAGCTCCCGTAATTACACGATTTTCAAGTACGATTTGTACAATGAAAACTGACAATCTGATTTGGGAAGATTCAAATACAGTACTGTACAGTACAGTACTGTAATCTTCCTACAGGCGTTACAGATGTACTGTAACTACTGTACTGACCGCAGTGTGCGTAATGTCCGTACTGTAAGTAGTAAAGAAGAAGGAAGTTCCAAACACTGCTCACTAAATTGTAATGTACAGTACAGTAAATAAAAGATTTCCTTTTCGTTGCTGAATCTTCATTGTATCATTAAATAATGAGAGTATCAATGCCCATTTCCTACCTACTCACTTGCGTAATATTATACTTTAGTATAACTTCACATTTCCTTTGCATGCAACGTATTCCTTCTACATTGATTAATCATTTATTGTTTTCACATGACGGAATTTAAATTAAACTAGCTTGGTAAAGCTGATATAGTTAAAGGTTACAGTCTCTGAATCATTCAGATCTAATTTGACGAATCTAATGCATATTACCCTAAAACTAATTCTGCACCAGAGAAGTAAATTGTTAATCTTAGTAGAGCAACAGCAATGCAACTACTTTTGGAAGGTAGTATATTATGAATATTAGACCTATTTCAAATCATTCCACGCCATGTACAGATTAAACATACTGTACAATAATGTAATACCGACAGCTACCGTAGTCCGTTTTGTCTCTATCATGCACAATCAATAAGATTACACAGAGTACGCATAGTACTGTATAGCTTGCATTAAATTATTGAGGATGTGCGTACTTATTTTAATTTAGGAAATATACAGTATGATATATTTAGTTTAATTTAAAGCCTGCATCATTTAGATGTTGTACAAGGCACCATAAAAATTAGCGATTGCTTCATGGTTATATCACGCCGCCGCATGAATGATGATCGAGATAGTAAATAGCTGAAAAATTAAATTTATTTATTTACTATAAAATTAATTCATCTTACTGTTAGTTATAAAAATAATAATCTTAAAAATTTCAATTATTAAAAAAAAATAAAGGTCATCTTAGGTCGCTGCCACTCGTATACAATGTAACATTTACAACATTGTACTGTAGTCGGTTCTAGATTTAAAGTAATACTTGACATAGTCAAGACTATAAATATATACATTTATATTTCATACCACATCGTGAAGTACTATATTCTCGTCTAAAAAATAATTTTTGCACTAATAAATTCTGGATTCACTGCTATTGTCTTTAATAGATATACAGGCTACAGCATGGTATGAAAATAATCAGTAAAGCGTAAGAAAAACTCTTAGGTATTGTTGATAAAATACGATAATATTATTCATCGAAAGTTGGCTATTCCATAATTGAAAGCGAATTTAATATACAAAACTTTATCGTTTCATAAGATCCTTAATCTTAATAAATTTAGAGGTTATTTTCACATAATCAGAGAATGAAGAAACAGTCAGAAAACGGTAGCCGGGATTAAATCATAAGTCTTTATGTGATATAGGTATGATATGCTCTATGTAGATCGAATATCTAGGCATCAGGTTGATGTTTATTGGAGTCTGTAATATTTCTGCATCCCACACTACCTCTTCGGCTTTTCTTACGTTTTATTGCATCATTAATTCTTTGTATTAGTCTGATCGTTAAAATGATAGAGTAAACGGCAGTAACTGCTGCCATCATAAACGTCCAGCGATAGCATTTTAAGCCGTAACAGGTTAAACCATCACCTGGTCTGATGTAGAACTGGTAAATTGCTGCAAAAACACGTTGATAAACGATTGTACCTGTTGCAGTACTTAGCATCATCCAACCCCAATTCCAACCAAAATTTCTGGTACCAAATAACTCACTTATCATAGTTGGTGTCAAACACCAAATCGATCCGAAGGAAGCTCCAATAACGATTGAATTTAATACTAATACAGCATAACTACCCAGGAAAAACATTGAAATAAATTGCATAACAGCTAATAGTATCAACCAGAAAAGTAAAATAGTAGCTCGAGGGACTCTGTGAATAAGTCGGTCAGAGACGTAACCTGCGATAATACGGGCAACACAACTTGCCACAGGCGTTAAAGTCGATAGGAATCCATTATCTTTACCTAAATGAAAAGACTCTAAAATAGATGAGACGTTATTCATATAAGTCAAACCAACACCACCACCAATATTAGCAATCCAAAATATATATTGGAAATCAAGATTGATTAGAATGGAAAAGCCACCCATATCACCAAGGATAGCGTCATCAGTATCTTTATCAGGTTCAAAGCATGAGTCATTCGATTTAGTTGATACACTATCTTGTGTACATACATTCACTGATAAAATTTCTTCATCAGGAGGTAATAATTTTAAGAAGATTATTGCTAAAATATTAACAATGACGATTACAATTGCACACATTAAGAAGAATCCCTTGAGATTCTGTTTTTCTTCGTCGCCATTATCATGTCCGTTAACAAATGAACCTGCGTAGATAGCAGCAAATATTGCCGCACTACCACCATACATTGCATCTACGCAACCAACCACGGTTCCTCGTAGCCGAAGAGGATAATTATTGATTGTCGTCATTAAGCACGCCATGTATGTTATGGTGCTTCCTTGGCCTAAACAGTTGATAGTTACAATTTGTTGGTATATTAATAAAAAAGAAAGAATTAAATCTTCACATTAAGTAGTCATACTCTTCTAGACTCCACAAGTAACGCCTGTTGTGATGATAGCATGTAAAATTGTAAATCACTTGTATATGTTACGTGTTTTTAATGTCAGTTTGGTGCAATAGTTGTCATGGTAAAGTAATAATGATATTTGTATAAAAGATAGCGATAGTCTCCTAATAACTCGTATTTATAATATATCTTTCACGTTTCACCTCGAAATGAAGTCAGACAGACTTGCCTTCAATTATAATTATTGGACAAACTTACATCGACTATATGCTACGTTACAGCATACTCGTACATGCAAGTAATATATTGTCCGTTCACTCCCACTTTTAATTTTAACCTATTGTAGTATTAGTAAGCCTTGCATACAATAGCAGCGAATGATATATTCACGTTTATAGATACTTGTTTGGCACTACGTTGCCTAAATTATAGGGTTTAAGAAAGTATTGTTGCTCACAGTGTTTCAGTGTCATAGTATAGATTATGGTACAGCGCCTCTACTGATTGTGAGTCTTTTAGAAGGGTAGTTATTATGCGTTATAGTAGCAGTACTATTCTTACTAGATCTTTCGACAGATAAGGGTGGAAACTGTAGAAGTAACTCAAAGTAAGTGCTTTACGTTAGACTAGTAAATTTGTCAGTAAGTAGTCCATGACAATACTGTAGACCAGTGTCCTTAAAAGGCAACCCGAAACCCGACTCGAGGCGGGATTCGGGTGAAGAATTTCTGTAGCGATACAGCGTTTGTCTAGTGATTGCACTTATTTCGGGTTAGAAAATCAACAATTTGATCGGGTTCGGGTTACGTTTTCACTCCATTGGAGGACTCTGCTGTAGACTGTTAGAGGGTAAGACTTGGTATCTCCACGGCCGATTCTAAGTCGAACTGCAATTTTCTCGTGCTCAACTGAATGGGACTGAGTCGTGAAGATAGCTAGCTAGTTAAGACTCAAGAGTACATTTTTATAACCGTAATTCAAGTACTTTAAATGTAGATAATGCCCAAAGGGCTTGGTTGTTGTTGAAAAATTACTGTAAGCGCAAAATCTTATTAAATGTCATTATTCAATCATAAGCAATACGTACCGACAATAAAGTAGAAGAGACATTGCCAACCGTACGCTGTAGAGAAGTAATCTTTGAGTAAAACACTCATCCACATTAGCATGTATCCTGAGCTGTAAACAATCAGACCCAGGAAGGCAGTCCACTTCGGACCGTATCGATTGAAGAATATTCCTACCGGAAATCCTATGCAGGTGCCGACATTTCCCATTGCCGAAATTGTTTCAACTGTGGTGTCCATTAGAAAGTAACATAATAAGATAAAATAGCATACGTATACATTAATTAAGTTAAACCAACAGTTATATATACAGCACTAGATTGCAATTTATTAACATTCTTATAACTACATCGAATCATTTTGTACGCCTGAATATTTATTTCTTTCACATGAAACATACGAACTCTTTTAACTATGACATAATAATAATAATAATAATAATAATAATAAATACATTATTATGCATAATTAAATAGCGAAACTTCAATCGTTCAAATAGCTACCTAAGCACTACTGTATATCTGATGATATACAACATTTTAAAAGTTTCAATTTGCACGATTGTTATGAAATTACCCATTTACTAACTATTCCACTGCATTAGCTACAGCTCAAGCTCCAGACTGCACAGTGCACAGCCCTAGCCTTTCTGCAACCTTAGAAGGTCAATGAGGATTCTAGACTTAGGAGTGGTGCAATTAATAATATTTTTTTAAATATAAGAACTTACGCGTATGATTAATTAATTAATTTTTACTACTAATATGATTAGGTCTATTCTAAACATTACTGCTACTATATTGATATTCAATCTATAACTATAGATTGAATACAATATATTACCGTGATCGCATCGTATACTGTAATAATTGGCCGTTAAGCAAAACATTGCAGAAAAGACTAGACTTTAACATAAATACAGCAAAGTAAAGTACGCTACATGTACATTTGATACAATATGGATTATATTATTCCTTTGCAAGTACTGACCTTCCGATTGATCGTAACCGAAAGTCTTCTTGAAGGCTGGCTCAAAGGCACTAAAAGCATACAATGTACCACTTATCGCCATACCCATCAAAGCGACTATAAACGCTGTCGTTCGCCGAATCATCACTCGATCATATCGGATCCTTGATAAATCCATAATTACTTGTATTTATCAAGCTTAAAGCAAGCGTAATTATAAGATTAGGAAAAAGATAAGTGCTTGTAAATCTACTCTATCTATCTACAGGAATGAATGATACACCTACTGTAGGTTTAAGGTTATAACAAGGACTGTAAGACCTGCGAAGGCGCCTTGTATGTACTGTACACAGTGTACAGTAGAATGAAAAGCTTAATTAAATTAAAGTACTGTACAGATACAGTACAATACACGTACAGTACACTACAGTACAGTACTGTACAGTACACTACTTGACCAGACTCACTTTCAACTACAGTATAGTACAGTGTAGTTGTTTACCTTTACCTCTATGGTTTATTTGCCTACTAAACTCATGATAATCACGCTTCAAATCCCAAAGCCTGCAATGCTGGAAGTTTTATTTGCCGTTTGAACTTGACAGGACTTTACTGTACACTGTACAGTATGTAGATTCAATTACTGTAATGCACATGTCTGAGGGGTCTGCTATACAGTACTGTACAGTACAAAGTTTTTATACGCGATTGTAAAGTATACAGTATACTGTACACTGTACTGTATTGTACTGTATGCTGGTTAACTTTAACCTTTTCTGCTTTGACCTTATTATTATACAGTACAGTATATTTTACGTAAGGTATAAAATGTTTGTGTACCGTGATATAGTACTGTACACTGTTATACTGTAATAGTAGGTTGCGTATATGAAACAGAGGATTTGCTTTTCATCAGTCAGTGCTAGTCACCACTCACTCAGAGATAATCAGTCGTCAATACCATCGTTACAGTCAGATGGCATGAAAGTTACTCCAGTCTCCAACAGTGATTGACCTAGAAATTCTCTAAGACAGCAGTCTATTAATTGGCTTTGGTTGCTTTTCAACATCATTTACGGTTGTTACTAAATTATAAAAATTGAAAAATTATTTATTGTACCGGCATATACGTACAGTGCAATAGTGTATAACATACTGCGGTATTATACTGTACAGGACAGTTTATTCCTACTGGTGTTGCCGTATTTCTTCGCTTTAATCATCACTTTTTTGGAATGGTAACATTGATTTGAACATTAGCACACCAGTTGGTCTTGTTAAGCATATTGTGGATACCAATATGAGAACTAAAAGCAAACGCTGGTTTATCAATGATTCATGTGGAATTTGTTGTGTAGTATTTACGTATCTTCTGATCTTCTTTGCCGAATGCGTAGTCCTCTTTGTGACTCTGCTTCCAGAATCCTCAACTTCTTCTACAGTGCATGCAATCATATATAATGTTCTAATCATCTTAGCTGTAGCGGCTCATTATAAGACCATGGTAACTGACCCAGTAAGTTTTAAAATTACCTTTACAAAACGGTGTAAAATACTGTAGACATACAGTACTGTATATTCAAACGGTTCTGATTATCATAATGACAATATTTTTATAGCTTCATTGTATCAAATTTGACACCATTTATACCGCGTCGTAAGTGATATATTATAGACGTAGAATTCTTGCTATATAAACGTAATTAGTAATCACCATGATGATGTTCATCCAAGACCGACGATGAATTACTAATATGCTATCGTGCGAGTAGTTGCCCTAATCACTATCGTTCCTGGTGCAGTGTTTAAATGCCCGGGTCCTTACATGGACCGTGACATTTATAGTTATACTGTACGCATATGCAGTGGTAGTTCACACAGATTTACAGTATAGTACGACAAAGTAACATATTAATGTAGAATTACTTTTACTTTTAAGTGTACGCAACATACATTTTAATGCTGCATAAAATGTTATATACTGTAGATCGTTGTTATAGTACTGTAAATTTTAAACCTTAATTCTTCTACCAAGATATCAAAAATCAGAAAATTTATTCCCCTTAATGTTACTGTATCCGTGTACACTGTATAGTGTATATGTTTCTGTTACACTGCACACATCTGTATACAAACTATTATAGTGATACTGTCAGTATTGCCAGTACCCGGTGTACTGAACACTTTTACAGTACTGTACAACGTAAGGTTTGCTGCAGTGGTTTCACTTACTCGCTGTACACCTGTAAGCGGTGAATTTGATAATTAGCAAAATTTAGGGTAAAACCACGGACCACTAAAAAGAAATTAGTCCGTGGTAAAACGGACAGTCGTGTACTACTAAATACATCGATGCAATTTAGTAGTCCATGATACAGTACAGTAATTTTAAGAACAAATTAACATGTGGCAAACTCTGATTTCTTGGAGATATGTCTATATACTGTAATTATGAAAAGGGATGGCCTTCACGGGCCTCTATAATCATGATATTTTGGTATTCAACAGATGGCCTGGATAGCATTATGTTCAGCTCAGTATAATTTAAGAATAATTATTATAATAATTTGTTTAATTTCATTCACAGGCCTTTGTTTATATTATATAAATTGTAGAGTACTGCCAGCACACTACGCTCTACTACTTTAGTGTACGAGCAATACCATAGTTATGGATCCATGGATATCATGGCATTTTAATCTTTAACTGATAGGCGGCATTACAGATGGCAGGAGTGCTAATTAGTAGCCTAGTTTTGTTACTGAATTTACTTCACTAAGAGGTGTTATGAGTGTCGTAAAAGCTGGCATTTCTTGATTAATGTAAAAGATAGAAATGAATGATGTTGAGTACTGTACCTGTAAAAAGGAATGATGTTTGCTCACTTGATATGCTCGTAAATTTATCCTGAATAGGGTGCAGTACCAATCGGAAATGCAACGCCAGAAGCATTAAGAAATCTGAGAGATAATGGCAGTTTTCGTGATATGGTAGTCGTGAAATGTGTAAAGTGTGAATGTATAAAACCTGAGAGGGCGCATCATTGTAGGTAGGAATGAGATTTGTGGATCTGTTCATCAAGATATAGCGTTGTACAGTATTACAAATCGCTGTTATGTTAGATTACGCTGCCGCTCAGGTACTAATAACTGTATTATCTGTCTTCACATTTCAGAGTTTGCAACCGTTGCATCCGGTAAGACTTTAATATTGTTGGGCTCTTGTATTCATATTTATGTTTACGTAGCATAACACTCTTTTACGTGACAAAAAGCAGCATTTGCAATACAAAATGTAAATCAACACTGATGTATCGCAATATTCGCATCTCGAATCATAGAGCTATCAGAAATGTCTTAGTTCTATTTTGAATTTATTGCAACTTTTTTTTATTTAGTCATTGGTTATTCTTTAACGTGTTTCTAATTAAGTTTGATTGTTATACGAGTATATCTGAATACTATATTACATTAAAATGTACCGAAAAACTTATTCTTCTCCATATCATTATCTAACGATTCTTGAATGTATCATTATAATGCTAATGTAGAAAAATGGATCATCATTGTCCTTGGTAAGTGTTTTAGTTTCAGCATGAATTTAACTCTTTACCGGCTATCTGAAGACAAGTGCCTTAACATAACTTAATCTTAATTTTTCGCTATGTCAATGTAACTCTGCATCTAGGGTTAATAACTGTGTTGGAGAGTACAACCAAAAATATTTCGTTTTGTTTACGGTAAGTTTCACTGTAATAGATCAATACGTGAAATTCATTATAGATTAAAGAATATATTCATACAGTTTTGACCAAATATATGATCATCAGGTGATTGAATGTCAATTTTTAGAAAGATCTACAGTTTACGATTTGTTTTGCTTTACTTGCAGATGTATATATGCTTATCCTCAATTTATTCGATATTCCTGGGTATTCGGCATTTTATTATTTGCCATAGTATCGAGGCTAGAAGTAAGTTAGGTTTAATAGCTTTTAGTATTATTGCAAGTCGATTCTAAAACTGTAGGGATAGTGCTTCCTGGATTTAAAAGCTGTCTTCCAATTTACACAGACTGTAAGCCATTTTCGCTGCCCGCAACCATCGTCTTTGTTGTTGCATTATTATTCGAAGGCCTACTTTTCGGACTTTTTACACTGATAATGTGGTCTTCTCAGATGTATGCAATAGCTAATGATGAAACGGTCGGTCTCTTTGCTTAATACGTATGTTATTAAGTTCCTTATGAGCTTGCTATGGCATATTTATTCATTTTGTAAATATGATACACATTTAGGGCATTGAAGCTCTAAAAAGTAATAAGGATGGAGTTCAAAAGAAGGCTTGGTACGATTGCTATTACTATAAATTCACTACAGCGGCAATGTTAATCTCTATAAATATTTTGATCAGAAGGACTTTTTATCAAAGATCAATATATGATGAAGCTTTGCAATTTTTTAAAAATTAATTTAGGCTTATGAACTTTAAAGAAGTCTTTGGTGGGTCATTTTCACTTCTATGGTTTTCTCCTTTTAATTCAGTTCATTACAGGGGGAAAGAAGATGCAATGCATTACATAGTGTAGTTGACGCTACAGTTTTGTATTTGGCAACTCTTCGTCATAAACGGTTACTAGAGGGCGTATGGTAGCCTGCTACAGACGTCTATTTCCTCTAAATAGGAGTAAATTTCGCTGAATTATAGATATATATTGTTACCGAGGGTACAATTCTTTTATGATTAATAATTTCAAAAACATACTATTTTTAAGACTCAGTAATTGGTACAGTACGGTACTAGTTTTATCGCGACATTGATAGATTTTTAGATTTTTTACAGTATCATTCTGTATTTCGCCGGGGACTCGCATGTTTGGCAATGAAAAGCCGAAAGAACGTATCATATATTGTTGGAAATATCGTTAATATGATGTAACGATTTATTTAACAATAACACGTTATGCTAACCTTATGTAATCCGTACCAGATACGTATTTATTACTATTGTAGTGATTAAAAGTTCGTAGAAGAGACCTATAGCATACGATGCGGATAAGTTCCAGTACTATCTTGTTACGATATTTGAGGTATCATTGAAAACACTTGCGAACATTGCAAATTTGAGTTGTAGTATATGCACCGTAGTTTCGCTATTTCATTTCACGGATTTGTTGTGGTGTAAAGAGCTGTTTCGATATTGTAGCCCTAAAATTAATTATTTTAAATTAATTATTATGTATAGACGCTTATTGCTGCACATTCCGTTCAATGTAACTCGGCTATGAAAGATGTACAGTAGATGATACTAGAGGTAGACTGTAGAGCTTACAGAATCTCTTTTATTTGTACTACTAGTATCTGTGCATTTTGTATCCAAATCAAATCAATAAAATGTTAGGAACTCATAAAGGAAATGCGAACATTACATCAAGAAATTACAACGTGACAGTGAATAAACAATTGAAGTGGTAGTACTACAGCTGGTGCGTGATAGTAGATATCTTCAATATGTAATAGTTGTATGCATTTGCAGTATATGCCTAAATCCATATCACCCTAATTAAGCAGAGTGGGGATTGAGTTTGAGTTAGCTAGACAACGGGAGTATAGTATACTGTACGCTTACAATACAGATCGTAAGATACGGCCAACTGTGATAAGGCGTCTAGTAACTGTTGTCACATGCATATAAAGGCATACGTATAATGCAATCAGGATCGGATTTCAGTAATTTCGTCGTCATGCGGCATAGACGATACCCGTACAGCAAACCATCGTTTGTGCAATACGATTAGAAACGAATCCTGGGTACTAATCTCTGGAAGTAGTCACAACTATTCGAGAACGTGATTGTTTTTATTGCGAATCACCAATTCTGGGTTTGAAGATTTATTTGGATGAGAAATAGCGCTACAATAAAATATATATACATTATTTTCCATTTATAAATCAAGCTGTACAGTATAACCTCCTCTTACAAAGTTATGGTAATGACTAATTTAATGTGAATGGGAAATCTTTGTTGCTAGTCAATATGAACGCGTGTTTCCTTAGTCTCAACATGACAACGGTCGCTATGAATGATACCTAATCCTACAATCATTAAAAATGCTCCTAAGCACCACATCTTCGATAGGTATTCCTTGAATATGACATAGCCTAAAAGAGCCTAAATATAAAGAAGCAATTAATGTGCAGTAGCTCGTGATTTAGAGGATTTTGATGCAAAAGATCTTATAACAGTTTTAATTACTACAAAAATAATGTTAATAGACCAAAAATAGTAATTAACAACAGGCAGTGCTAAAAACAGGCAAATTAATTTGTAATAAGACGTGAAGAACATAAATGCTAGTATTAATGCTTAACTATAAATAGTCAACACAACGCACATTATACTTTTCGGAACCATAATAAAATGGATTGACGATATATGCATATCGAAACGGATCAACATGACACCTGAATATCAGTGATTTGTAACTGTTCGATTTAAAATTGTACTCTACGTTGAATACCCAGGGTATAGTCAATTAGTCATACAAAAATTCTAAACGTTATGAAACTTCACAGTTATTATTCGTACTTACACTCGCTATGAAATTGATGGCACTGCTTATGACTGTAGCTTGTAAAGAAGTGCGGAATTGATTTAAAGCTTTGACGAAAAAGGTCCACATAATTGCATTCGATAGAAAAAATCCTCCTATACAGATTGCCCTCAGACACCACCAAATCTAACGCACAATACCATGTGTAAATAACAGATTACCCTTAATGAATACGTATATTGACACGCATTTCATTTACTATACTGTAGATTGCAACAATTTCGGACTTGATCACATTATGTACAATGTGGGATAGAATTATCATTTTGGTAAGTTAAATTCACATTCATAGCAAGCCTGATTCTAGCTTCAATTTCCAACAGCTGTACAATAGTAACTTAAATTCTACAAATCTATCAACAAAACAATACAGTAGGAATTATGTTCATGTTGGTGACGGCGTGAAAGCTGTAAAGAAGTTAATGGTACACAAGACTTATCAGCTGTTGCGTCTTCTCAGAAATTACTGTGGCCATGGTACTTGGCATATTCTTAAACTGTACCCTACCGTTTTGCACTACATATCGTATTCTGTAAAATACTTAAGCTAATCAGGGAAAGATAGGCACCAGCATAGTGCATCAAAAGCTATACCTTAGTACAGTTTTTCGATGAAATTTCTATCCAAGCAGTACAAAGATAATCCTTCATGATATGATCGTCATAGAAGGCTAATTTCATAAACATTGATGCAAAGGCAGCACTTAGGCCAGCCAATGAGGCCAATAGAAAGCCTAACATCGTACTGTCCAATATTGCTAACGGAAAAGTACTTCTTACTGTATGATACAAGTGGGTGTAGGGTATTTCCGGCAGTGTACTAATTTTGTTCCAATAGATCAATAAACGGCTGACTTTAATGTTAGCGATGGAACGAGCACAGAGTTTCCTGTTTCCTTTTTACCTCTATGCATGTGAGCGCAAGCGTAGTACCAAAAGAGCATGCAAAAGTTTCCTATTTGATTATGTCATGAGTGAACGGTGGTGAACAGGCGTAATTGCAACCCGTGGGATTTTTGTTACCCGGGTACCTCGTTTCCTACCATCAATATAAAAATTGCCCGGGTACATATTGTACCCGGGTATTTTAACCAAGTATGGAAACCCGGGTGCAATCCCTATAAGTAGCTTCAGGCATGCAATAGTGTACTGTACGGTATGACACCCGTGATGACTGTAGCAAGTAGCAACTACGTATTCACTGTTCATTCATGACATAATCAAATAGGGAACTTTGAGAAGCAGGAGCTTGTTTGTACGAGAATTTTCCTGTTCGAAGTCGTTGATAAATGAAGTGAAATCTTTTTCTGTACAGTACTTAACAATAACAGCAGATTTACTGGTACAGGAGGATGCAGGAAATCCGAAATTTATGTCAAAGGGAACAATACTCATACAGTACCTATTCGGTGTAGAGTACTGTATACTATATCGTCATCTAAAGCCAGATCTACCAACTACTGTACTGTACATTAACGAGGAGATTCCATCACCATTGAATGAATGTACAGTACTGTATACTGTACTGTAGAGTATTACAGTACATAGTACTGTAGTGTGTACATATGCTAGAGGTGCGTATTGGTGGCACCGTTAATAGTACGTACTGTTGTTTACGGTGTGACCATGTGACAGACGTATCGCACGGTACTATACAGTACATGTACTGTAGTCTACAGAACTACAGTACTGTACTGTACAGTAACTGATCGCTTATACTGTACTGTACACCTACAGTACAGTACGTATTACGTAGACTACCATTACCATGCCTCAGGTACGGGTGCAGCTACCAGTCGGGTAGGCGGAAGAGACAAGAGAAGTTACGGTTGAAAAGAGAGTGTGGCTCTTTGCGTTACATACAGTACTTTATAGTACAGTACTGTGGCCAGATTGCCCGCATCCCTCAGTGTACAGTATAGTACTTTCACTTGTGCACTAGTGGTACAGTATACTGTAAAAACAGGATAGAATGTGAAAAGAAAGGGTTTCTTGTTCAAAATGCCAAAAGCATAGAAAACTTGACTTGACACTTGATTTTATTGTGCCACGAGACGGAGTCATTCAGGGTGCAGTACTTTGTACTGTTGATCTTGTTCTCAGGATACTGTACACTGTAAGTGATTCATCGCTGCAGTACTGGATGTACTGTTGATGGTTGATGCTCTAGGGAATAGTCCGCTGTCCAGTAAAGTACTGCACTGTCTTGACTGATTCTTCTTACAAAAGCGTCATCATCCAAGTACTGTACAGTGTACTGTATTTGCTGTACTGTGCTGTACTTCTGTCAAGAACAGACTGTACAGTACTGCACAAGTACAGTACCAAGAGTACCGTGGTGACGTAGTAAGTACGGTCAGTTACTCAGGCTGCGACGTCGTACTGACTCTCTTTTACAGCGCTGTGGACGTATTTCAACCAACCTTATTGATCATCGGTTTAATCTGGATCGTTTTACTCGCCGTTACAAAGCGAAAAATTTCTCGACATTTAGATTTTGTTTTATCGAATTATAGACTATGAGTTACGCATACTTATTTAAGTATATCATCATAGGTGATACTGGTAAGTAACATCAACTTAAGGTATCCTTTTATTGAAATTTAGTTGTTAAATTGGAATCTTTTTAATTCATAAGACCGTTGAAAGTACGACACTGTAGTGTAACGTCGTAGCGATCGATTTTGTACCATTTTCTTTTTCTGCTGTATGGGAAAAAGGGAGACTATGTGTCAAAGTTAATTCATCGGTTATGGCTATGCAGTAGATTATCATCCACTGATGCAGTATAGAGTAGATAAATGTCTAGTTTACATGAATAGTTTCGTCCTTGTTGCAATCAAGTTGATCTATTGAATACAGCCATTCCCGTTATTGCTATGACACTTTCTTCTGATGATTGAATTTGGAAAACCTTTTCACTAATACGCTAAAATCTTACTTGTCGTAGGTGTTGGCAAATCATGTCTATTATTGCAATTTACCGACAAACGATTCCAACCTGTCCATGACTTAACAATCGGTAAGACCTATTTTTTGATTCTATTTGATACAGAATAGGTTATCTCAGTCGGTATCATTTCACTCTTCACCAATAAGCTAATCGAAATTGACGTCAGTCTATACTGCAGTGCTCTTCTTTGTATAAGACTATGTTGGACAATTCTCGGTACATGATAGTAGTTGAGAATTTCAACCAATAATCAATCGGGAATGGAGAGCAACTCGCGATTTTTTATCCTAGATACTTTTCTTAATACACCTATCATTTATCAGTTGGTATCATACTATGCAGTTGTTTGACTTCGCTAAGTTAACTTAATTTCTCAAATCATATCATCGAATCGATAATTGTAATTTACTAGGTGTTGAATTCGGCGCTCGGATGATTACCATCGATGGAAAACAAATCAAATTACAGATATGGGATACGGTAAGAACTGTTTTACTCTTTCATACACCTAGAGAAGTTGTATAGAGGTTGTAAAACGACTTATATTAGCACAATTTGCCCAAATAGCATAACTACTATCTTCGTTAGAATGATCCACTATCATTTTATGGACGTTTGTATGAAATATACGGTAAACCTTCTTGATATTGTACTACCGATACTATGCGATACGTATGGAGGCGAAAAAAGTCAAACAATGCCTTCCTCGTTAACAATATGGCCACCCTTTTGTCATGCTTTGGTATCCAACTTCCATATACAGTACTACATTTCATTGCTAAAACCAAATACAATATGCTTATACCACGTATTTTTGCCCTCATGTCTGCAATATTTTAATCACAACTCATTTTGGGGGGGGGGAACATAATCTTCGAATTGATCGAAATTTAAATGGAAAATAGGTAATCATTCAGTTATACGTATTCGCTGATTATTATAATTGTTATCACAGATGTTGCTAATAGTTTTTTATCCTTATTACAACTTTTTGGGGGTGTTCTAAAGTATACATTAGTTCAAATCTGTATTAATTTAAAACAACTTACATAGCAAAAGTTGATTCTTGAAAAAAGTAAAGAGGCAACTTGAAGGTCACGCTGACGTAATAAATAAATAACAACATCTTGTGCTCCACGATAGTAGTCTTAAGTCGTTCTACGCTACTTCGCTATCCAAATGAAAATGATCAACGCGATAGAGGGTATAAATTTTTGAATAAATCAATACAGTATGAACAATTATACGTATAGAAATACATAGCTGCGTGAGCTATTTAGATTGGCCTACAGCATTCCGTTATATTTGAGTAATAACCTTTATACTTTCGACTACATTGGTAGCCGTCAAAAGTCTCGTAAACTTGAATATCCATTTCGATTAAGGCAATATCGCATGCTTCATAGATTATCATGTCTAGCTAATTTTGATACAACGCCAAGTCAATTAATTCAATAATAACACTCCTCTGTCAAACTGACTTATCTCTTACTGCCCGGATTTGATACTATCGATCAAGGCTATCCCAGCGACTTTACTACGTATTCATAGTCTAGAGCTACATGATAGTCTTAAAACGTTATAAAAATTCTTTTACTGGACTGTTATTCGATTTTTTTCTTTTGTCAAGTTCTATCTTACTGTATGTTATTAGGTCATATCTTTTGCTATAAAGTTAAAATAGCCAGTCGAAAAGACTTACCACTCATTTATTAAATACTATACATTTTACTCTGGAAATTATACCAGATACCATAAGATAAATACGAAAGGCACATTGCATTGTTTACCCTTATATCTCATACTGCAAAAGCTACGAATTGACTATAATAGACATCTGCAGTAGATTTCAGTAATAACAACTATCAGATCGTAAAGCTCGAAAAATTAATATGAAGTTCAATAACTTAGTTCACCGCATAAAGGTACATTTAGTGCAGTAGAAGGATCTGTTAGCTATTGCTTCCGTAACGGACGCTCTTTAGACATCGTACGGAATGATTATCCTAGAGTCATTAGTTGAGCGCATACCGATGTGGTAAGCAGTATGTACTCGCGTCTGCCGCAATATGGTACAGTAACCGTTGTCGTACGATTGATTTATATTAAGCCATTTGTCCTCTAAAAATGGAACGGAATCGTCGATAGGAAGAATTAATTAAAAGTTTTTTGTTAATTTTAGCAAACACATTGACCGATTAGCGATTGTTAATTTAACTGATCTTTCCGTTACTACTGCTATCATTTCAAATGTAATACTGATCTGACATAACCGTGTAGAACTGGAGAATATTGAAATCCACCTTCATTTTCAAATGTTGACTGCGGATTAAATACTGTCCACGGTATTGTATTCTCATTGAAAATTGTTAGTATTACCTTCAATAACTCAGCTACAATTATAATATTAAGCCCGTAAAATAGGCTGCGTACAACTTCGCATATAGAAATATACGATAGTATTAATAGTATCAAAATTGTCATCTTTCTAGCTTGCGTAGGAATTGCTGATTTTATATGATGTCAAATAGATTAAATCAACTTGATCGTACGGTGTGTCATAGTGAAAATTCTCCAACACCGAAGAATAATAAAAATTAGCTGCAACAAAGCTATCAATAGTACCTACTCATTAGGTCGATATATTACATTCGTTTAATCCCAACAAGCCTCGTATTACGCTTCTCCTATGATTGTGAAATGACGAAAAAACAATATAGTTGACAAAATTAAAACTAAGTGGTTTGATCATACGCCAAAATAACAAAGTTTCTAAATTCCATTCGACTCATATTTTCTACCGATGTTTGAAAAGTTTTCTAAATTTAACAACGTTGACATTTAATAAAATAC